GTAAGATGTCTTACCGTACACATCGCAGTATGTCAGGTAGTCGACGCTTGGTATTCGGTTGGTGTTGTTGGTAAGAACGACTTCAGGGCATGCTCAGATAAAACAGGAGATATATCTACTGTCAGTTGTCGAAGCAACGACTTCAGACATCAAAATCTCCTAACAGTCTTTGTAAATATGAGCTATTAAATATTAAACTAGGAAACAGCATCTGGAGGACTTCAGACATCAACATCTCCATACAGTCTTTGTAAATATAAGCTACTAGATATTACGAGGTACGAGGTTACAGAATTTTGAGTACTTAGAAACATACTGATTTTTGACCAATGGCCTTTGATTACAATAACTGCTGCCCTACTTAGAATTCTTTTGCAAGGTGATTTACACAATGTGTTTTGTGTTGAGGAAGGTACTTTATTGTGTTGTCTTTTCTGTCCTTTCCACCTTAACATATACTACTGTTATCAGTTTTACATACATGGACTACAAGTTGGAAATACAGGGAGGGGATAGATAATTGTTGCTAATATCCTCCTTCATTGTTGATATTGAACTTTTGATATGATCTTTTTACTAATTCCACTGAAGATGGAATGAATTACATGGACTATAGGATGTTTTATGTAATATTTAAATGTAGCCATACTGGAAGTGCGTGGAGTAGTGGAGGTGTTTTGCTATGTATTCCATTGGAGTGAACTTTGCTTTCACTAGTGAATTAGAAAGTGCACTTACACTTGTTGTGGTTTTAAATACAAAGTTTAGTTTGCTTGCAATTATACATTATACTGTATATTTCACAACAGAGACAAGGGGGTCACAAACATCACACATCTATGACTCCGGATACAAAGGATAGCCAAATCAGCTACAATACTTGGCTTCTATATCATATGTTATACTTTTCTATAATCTGTTTACCATCTCGTCCTTGGTGTACCTGGATTACAGTACAGCTATAAAAGGCATGCTTACAGAAAGTGAATATCTACAGCTTTGAAATCAATACCAATGCAAGTTACCTTGATTATATATCAGATAAGTTAAATTATACTAAAGAAATATAGATAGATTATATTTTCTCTCTGCTTTTTTAGTGAAACTTGTGTTTAATAGGGCTTTAAAAAGTGACTTCTTCACGGCCAAGATATCGAGACAATAAACAAGTCTGGCCTGATCAATTGTTACAACCATCATTACCGGTACTCGCATGTTGACCTAATGTTTTCACTTTGTTGATATTTTAATCTTTCTCAGCGCACTGTTACATTTTGGATATATACAATTGCATTACTTTAAGTCAACTGATAAGCAAAGGGAGATAATTCTTCTGAGCTTGATAACCTAATGATAAATTTTGTACATATTGAAGAAATGTAGATCCAAATTTGAAAATTAATAATATTTAAAAGCCTTTAATAGTTTCATCATGTTGCATTTTAGGAGGTGTAACTACCATTAGCACCCTGATTACCAATTTTTGGTAATTTTTAGGTTTTTATTTTACTTGTTTGGTCCATTGAGCTTGTGCAGTTGAAGGATAGCCAAATCAACTACAATACTTAGCTACCATATCTTCTGCAATTTTCTTTTATAACCTGTTTACCATCTTATTTACTATTTTTGACCTTAGTGTACCTGGATTATAGTACAGCTGAAAAAGTTGTTCCATTCATAACCATCTCATACACTACATATGTCAGTGCTAGTCCACTTCACATCGGTGATTTGTCTGATGAAGGTGATTGTGTAGTCATCAAAACGTCACTTATATCTTCTACAGACCATTAAGAACTTTAACTTTACTGTGTGCCTTGACTTAATATATTTTTACGAAAGCTTCTTAGAAGTTAGGAGTGTAGGACAAAACCTGTTTACAAAAAAGAAAAGTATTTTTCCTGGACATTAAATAGTGTGTGATGAATATATATTGTCACAGATTAAAGGCTTAAGGTGTTTTATATGTTAAACAATAATATGCCACTCCTACATAAAACAAGATGCCGAATGGGCTTGCATCACTCGCATGATATTCATTTTTTTTTTTCATTTTATTCCATTTTTAATTTCTGTTTTTCTTGTCTGGTCCATTGAGCTTATACAGTTGTATGACATGAAGCATTCTACACTGTTTTAATCTAAAAATCACTACCAGTCATAATTTGAATAGATTTTAATAAATTTGATCTGAAACATCCTTGGATGAGGCAGATCCAAGAGTCTATCGGTAAACAATTGCTGTTATAGCCAGAGGGGCGATGAGTGAAAGGAGAAATAGAGGAACTGCTTTGAATTTTTTCACTGAAGTATCCTTGAGTAGAGGGAAATGTTTTTGAACAGTGGGTCTTGGCTTCCTGAGACGAGACGGATGGGGCCCAATAGGGAAAATCAAACAATTTCTTCAAAATCCTTCCATTAAACCAGGTGTGATATTGGTATTTAGTTTTCTTTTCCTAACTGCTCAAAATATACATGTAGTTTCGTTCTGTAATCAAATGGGGAATTAAACTTAAATTTTACTTTAAAGTTCTACTCTTCCTTGACGCTACAGGATATTTCAACCTCATTTGGCATGAAACGTTTTCAGGGGTGTGCAATTATCTGTTAAAATTCAGAAAGTTGATACAGTTCTTTGGGAATTGGGTTAAAATTTTGTTCAAAAACCCTACGCTTCCAATATGGTCTTAATCATCACTTAGGGTGATGGTTTCTAATATTCAAACAAGCTAATTCAACCTCTGAGGACTGTAGGTAGGCCCCAAAGTGGGGAGTTTTGGCCAGATTTCACCAATGGTGGATTTTACCCGTATTTTATTTGAAACGGCAATAATTTCTTAAATGAATGATTAGGTTGTTAAGTGATCGTTAAGGCCCATGGGCCTCATGTTATAAGATTGATTTGTGACAACTTAATAAATAAAATTTAAGTATTAAAAGTTGGTCTTTTTCGAGGACATGTTGAAATATTTTCTGCAGTATTTTATGAACTATAAACCAGGACCTGGAAATGAATGTCTCCCTCTTAAGTAAGGAGGGTTGGCATGGTACATTGTATATCAAGGTGAAAGATATGGTTCATGTAATATTTTTATGAGCAGAGATCCCCTCTAGTAATATTCTCTACAGAATATATATGTTTCCAGTTATGAGATATGGTGTAAGGTATTTTAACCTAAGCATGACTGTCATATAGTTGTTATATAAACAATTGTTATACAATCTTGTTTGGCCTTATCACTGATATTTAGATTTAACAGTATCTGATAATTATCTGTAAAAATTCAGCTTATCCTAGACCTATGTGTTTATAGGGTTGACTCCTGCATCTGACCTGGTTGTTTTGTTTTTAATCAGGTTACCTACACCAGGTGTTAGAGATTCAAGCATGCAACTGTTTATATAGATGTAAGGACAAGTACAAGCCACCCTCTATATTGAGGAATTTGACACAATAAAGGCCAAACAAAATAAAGATTGTGTTTCTTGTTGTGGAAATTTACTTGTTGGTTTATATATATTATAGAGGTAGATAAACAGTTTTATTTCAAAACCAACTTTTCCACCACAATAGATGGGCATTATTCAACTCTCAAAACATCATGGGGGTGTGGAGAGCGGAATTGAATTTGGATTTGGTTTTTATGTACAAGGATCAAGTATAAGTATATTTCCAATTTGCTGTGTTTCAGGATCCAAGGTCAAGGCCATGGCAGAAGGACATTTATGTCATGCAGATATTTTTATTTATTTATTTTTTCTTGTGTGTTTAAAGTAACAAACCAATTAACAAATATACATCTAATGATATGGTCACATTAGCACTACATGTATATATTTCTGAAGTTTTCAGTTTTCCATTATTGATCATGGGAATTTCACTAAGAGTCCTATACAATTACAATTGATGTCAACAAAACACACATGGGTACAGAACAAGTAAATTCAACTTTAGAATAGCATTTTTCGATCATCTGATCTGAAGGGTCAAGATGAACTATAGTCATTGTGTTTCGTCTGTGGTTATGTGCTGTTTGCTGTGTGGAACCTTTCCATTCAAACAACTTTTCAATAACCAAAAGGCTCAGGGTTCTTATATTTGGCCTGTAGCATACTAGGACGAAGGGCCACAATGTCGTTAAATATCTTCGTCTTGATAACCAAAATGCCCACGCTGTTGATATCGGTTTTTTCACATAAATGGACAAAGGGCTACCAAATTTATTTAAATCATTGATGGTGATCTGCTTTCATGGTCTTCAGGGTCAAATGTGTTTGAGATATTAAAATTTCTACTTTCAACAAGCAGGGGCATGGTATTTTTGTGATAGCATGTATTAGGAAAAGGATTTCAAGTTTGCAGGAAATGTCTTTATGAACTTACAACGTCTTCTTTGTATGCTGTAGAGTAATTGGGCAATTGAGGCCTATTTGGGGTATGTATTTTTTATGTTCTGCTGACCATTAAGGCCCATCGGCCTCTTGTTCGTGTGGTAAAAACAGGTCACACAAACTTGTTCTATACACAGCATGATTTTCTTTCCGTCTCATTATAGTTATTTTCTAAAAGTTACAAAAATATAAACTTCTTTTTTTTTTTTGAATTTGAAAAAGTGACGTCTAGAGTGAAAGAAATATATACCATGATATAATGATTGTTTTTAATTAAATGGACAAGAAAGAAGATTGAGCACTAGAAACTATAGGCAAGATGTATGGCTATAGAAAAATGCAGCAGAATTTTTTTGATTTGGCCTTATTTTGGTATAGAAAGTTCAAGGTGCATTCTTTTCTATACAGGTAAAAAGTGGTTAACAGCGTCCCAGTCAGTGTTTGATATATAGGATCAGTACTTAAGAGTTTGATTGTCATCTTCAATAACATTCATATACATGGAAGCAGTATATTACTGATTTTGGATGTACAGCCATAAAGAACAGATACTCCTAGTTTTGAAGTTCTGTGCAGCAGAAGTAGATCCTGGATGACGAACGTTGTGATCAGAAGAGATTTTACAATCATATGAGAGAAAAAGTCACTGGCACTCACAGCTCATAACTGAAACAATGACAGGTAAAAAAACCACCATATTGAAGTCAATATGTCTCGTCCTTTTTTCACTCAAAGTTTCTTCGTCATTTCAAAGGTCAGTGTATTGCAGTACAAAACATTTTGAAATTATCTGTGGTGCTCCTTTCCTTGGCTAGTTACCTTCTGTGCTCTTTTCGTCAATCTGTATGGTAATTGTCACAAAATTTCATGCCTGTGTTCTTTCTTTCTTTCTCTTGACAACTCTGCTACTCCTTTATTTAGCTTGTGTACCTTGTTCATCTTGACTGGTGTACCGTGTCCATCCTGACTGTGTACCTCATCAATCATGTTTGGTGTACCTTGTTCATCATGACTTTTGTACAATGTTGTGCATCGTGATTGGTGTACTTGTTCATCATGACTTTTGTACATCGTGATTGGTGTACTTTGTTCAGTACCATGGTGATTGGTATACCTGATCCAGTACCACGGTGACTGGTATACCTGATCCAGTACCATGGTGACTGGTATACCTGATCCAGTACCATGGTGACTGGTAAACCTGATCCAGTACCATGTTGACTGGTATACCTGATCCAGTATCAGTGAGGTTCTGTGAAGTTGTGTGCTTTAATGTAAAAGTCAATCAAAATAATTTGTTACTAAATAAACCAGATAAACTGCTCACAGATGTCTCGTGTGCATAAAACTATCAGCTGGCATAGATTTTTATGAAATATCTGTGAGGCTTGAAATTTAGATAAGTGTCTACTTTCCTTCAGTTGTTAAACCTGTCTTACATTCGTCCATTGATCACGTGTTAAACATTCAAAAGTTTTGATGATTTAGGCTTTTAAAAATTAATGTGATACACTTATGATCCTGTTGTGTGTTAGAATGTTGTGATGTAATGAAGGTTATCGTTGTGAATGTATATTTCATCTCACCATAACACGCCTCCATTTTCAAAACATTGATCAAATTAATTCCTCCCTTAAAACCAATTTATCCATCATTGTTAATAATATTAGATATGACAACAATAAATGACATAGCTATATCGAGGAAGCTCAGTGGACTGCTAAACAGCACTGTGATATAGGTGGGCTTATTACCAAGCAAAGTCACTTATTGACAGATAAATGTAGTACCTTGCCAAAAGTTTAAGGTCAGACATAAATTCCATAGAACCTTGGGGTATAGGAATGTTTTTAAGCAAAAGTTGTGCTTGAGAAGGTTTTTTTTCTATGTCCCACAATGTATTGTTGGATCCATACAATTGTATTGTATTGTAAGTGTTAATAGTCTTGTTCAGAACCAGTTTGAAATCTTGAGAATTTCTCAACAGAGTTAGTTTATATTTACCTTATGCGATTTTTACACCTAAATAGATCTTGGTGGTCATCAGCAAAATTACAACGTACTTGGTCAAATGTCAATCAGTGGTGATCACATCTGTAATAAAAAGCTTGTGTATCAGTTACCTCATCATTCCTTCCACAGATTTCACATTCATATTCACACCATAGCATACAATGTATTAACACAGGTAAGTTCTATTAGATCTTGGTGGTCACCAGCCAAGGGGAAAGATCAAATGCTGATCAGTCGTGACTACCTCTGTAATAAAAGGCTTGTGATATCTCACTATAGCCTCATAACAAATTTAAGTAGCAAACCATCAAGTCCTACACCTGATGAAATATTGGTTGTCATCAGTCAAGGTTAAAGGTCAACGTTTAAACCACTTTTTATCACCTCTTTACATGCATGTAGTGGTCTCTCCCATCCCATTCAGAATCAATATTCACCCCATAGTACCCAAGTTCTTCACCTAATAACATGTTAAGATTATTGTCATTTAGAAAATCTCTCAGCTGATTTTGTTAATGTTTACCCAATGCATGTAGTATCGTACAAATTTCTACACCAAAAAATTAGCAAGGTGATCGTTGGTCACTGTCAAGGGTCAAAGGTTATTGCAGGCATTTTCTTGATCAAGAAACTGATTTTACCAAGCAGAACTTAGAGTATCAGGAAACCTATATTGTATTCTGCTGTTGAACCCCATGAGTTAGCACAAGCTGTAATACTGATGGTATATAGGTAGTATATAATTATTCTGTGCTTTACTTTTATGATTAACTTATAGGTAAATTTACATAACCTGGTAACTTGATGTGACTTGGCACAGGTATTTTTACATGTTAGTCCTATTGAGCATGCCTCTAAGGTGTACATTGATGTTAGAGTTCTGTCATTGGGCTTCACCTTTGTTATATATACACAAACCAACTAGTTTTACCGTCAATATCCTTCATGTTGATGTGTATCCATCAATTCATGAAGAAACTTTTCACACCTGAATGATTTCGAATAACCTAAATTTTAACAGTGTAATACCATACAGTTTACCGTACTCAAGGTTACCCAGAGTCTTACACTTGTACAGGATTCTGTTCTGGTATTTAGATAACGAGTGCACTGCTATCACTTACAGAATTGTACACTGACGCCTGAATATATCAGATATTTATGTTATACTGTATCTGAATGTGTAGGAGTAGTTGTGTTGTCTTAAAATACTCTTTGTAAGTATATACACGGACTTAATCTGGAAATGAAACGGTGAGAGAAATTCCCCAATGATATGAAAATGACAAGAGGTGAGTCTTTGATATATTTATTATTCACTGTTAATGTCAACCCTGACATCATTGTGTCGGTCAAATCACACACTGAATCATTATGAGCAAGATCAGGATTTTTTATTTTTCTGCAGTAGGTAAATGTGTACAGTGTCTACACAATAATTATAACATTACATGGCTTGTATCGTGTTTTCATTGAACTTAATAAGAATTAAGTAAATTTATCATTGGAAAATATTTGTTTGTAATATTGGATCATTATAATGCATTGAAAACTTCGACATTCATATTAAATTCTTAAAGTATGAAGAAAATTTCTCCCTTCATGATAACAAGATTTTTATCAGAAATTGTATTAACTCACAGATTGTAAATTTAACATGTTGGTGTATGGAAGGCCTTGTTTTTATGCTGTTTGTCTGTTGGTCCCATCAGCCAACTGTCATGTGATATGTTGTTTAAATAGACGATACCAGTAATGCTTTAGTTCAGCTTTCCGTGTACATTAGCTTCTATTCTTACAGGCTACCATGACCGTGTTTGATACACGGTTTGGTGGGTATGAATGCATGGGTTCATATTAAGGTTTGTAGGTCAAAGGTTACAAGGATTTGTCAGTTTTATTGATTGTAGAATAACATTAACACTTTTCCCAGCTTCTGTTCTGATGACTTAGCAATCATATTCATTACACAATTGGTTGATTGTGTGGAGTGGTATTTTTCATTACATCTTCCCTATTGCACAAGTACATTGATAATATTACACTTTGCCTTAAGTTAGGGACCACCCATACCCTGGATTGGGCTTAATTTTGATCATTGTATTCAAGAAAAACTATTCTATGACAACTCTACAGGATGTTTTAGAAAGTCGTGCTCAAAAAGGCTTTCCAAAAGTCGAAAAAAAAGTTGGAGTTTAACTGTCTTTTATTAACACATAGATCATAAAATCACCAAAACATGTAACTTGATTATGTAGATTTACTAATTAACGAGTTCTATTGGGTATGAAAGAGTCAGTATCGGGTACCACACTTCTGGTCAGTTCTTGTGACCATTGTTTCAATCCCTTGACCAAATGCCGAAGCTTGTTCTGAGGAAACATTTGCCACGCTCATAATTCTCCAATTATTTAGCATTTGGATATTCCTGTGAGATAGTTCTACACATGCTCAATTAAGTTCATGTCTGGTGACACAGCCGGTCAGAGGAGCATCTCTATCACTTCTTGTTGTCTTACAATAGGTAGGCTTTGTGTGGTTTGGCATTATTATCCATTAGTATAGGTCAACCTGGCAATGGATGGGAATCAAAATGGTGAACAATTGAATCTGCTGTTTTTAAAGTTCCATCAGGGACCTGCAAGTGGAGATTACAGTTTAGTGAAAAACATCCCCAAACAGTAATGCCACACAACAAGAAATGCTCTTTTGCCTTGTAAGTGATTCTTAAGGTATGCCATACTTCTATGTCTCCAAACAAGGATCCTGCTGTAGGCCGAAGTCATAGATGGCTGTCATCAGACCTGTGGACTCTTTCAAAAGACCTAATATTTCATGTCTATTGCAGTCTTGCTTTTTTGTGCCTTTCACTCAATAGAGGAAGACCATTTACTTGTCCCCAAGAAATCCCTATTTGAGAAATACATCAGAAATTGTCTATTGTTCAAAAGTCTGTTTATAGTATGGTGGCACAAACATTGATGTTCAACTGTCATCTGAACATGTTGGCAGTGGTAAACGGGACTTGCCTTTCCTACAGAAATCTGTCTTCTCTATCTGTACACTTCCTGAGGTCTGCCAGGTTTACTTCAGATGATACGTTAACAGTGAAATGACAGAATGCAGCTACTTACCTGTATCTCATATAACACTGAATTTTTCCAGATGTTTGTTCTCTTTCAGCATTTGTCCATTTTTGATGTGCCATTTTTTTAATACAGTATGATATACCAGTTATATATATACAAAAGATATGTTTATGTGGTAAAGTAAACTTGTGTTTTATTAGAGAACAGGGTACCTCAGTTTAATCCAGGTTATCATTAATTTGAGTGTATTACTTATTGGCATATACCACCAAACAGAAGAAAACATTACAAGGTATATACATGAAAAAGGTTTATTTTTACAAAAGGAATTTTTTTTATACATTAAACTTTTAATACTGATACATACAATATACATATTGTTGGCTCCTAACTGATGGCTAAGTGTATGTAATATATACCCTGGTAGATGCAGTGTATTTATTTGAACGGGATGTTCTGATGTAATAAAATTGTGAGGTACGGAAAATACATGAAATATCCAGGCAACTACAAAGTAGCAGATTTTTGAAGAGGGTTTTACCACAGTGCTATAAATCAAAGTTATTACCCGAGACTTTTAATGTACATACCATCAGAAGTTAGGGATAGATATACAACATCGGTGCAGTACAAATGACATATAAAAATGTGCTTAAAAGATGAAATAATCTTTATGTAAATATTAAAAATAGTTGGTCGGTTGGTGCAACGGTAATACACTTGCCTTTCACCAAGATATTTTACATTCAATTCCTTGAGCAGACATGGAATAGACACAGGGGTCGCTAAATGCCATACTACATTGGATTTCTACAGGTGCTCTGGTTTCCTAACACAGTAACTACCAAGAGTGATTAATATAAGCTGATAGCTTGTTTCACCATATTTGAAAAATAAATTAAATTTGTAAAATAAAAATGAATTTCAAAAATGTTTATAAATGAAGTATGTGACCAATACATTGTACATAACATTCAGAGAGTTTATTGAAGGTCATACAAGTACAGCAGTGTTCATTCTGAGAGTTTAGTGAGGTCATACAGGTACAGCAGTGTTCATACATAGAGTTTAGTGAGGGTCACACAGGTACAGTAGTGATCATTCAGAGAGTTAAGTGAGGGTCACACAGGTACAGATGTGATCATACAGAGAGTTTAGTGAGGGTCATACAGGTACAGCAGTGTTCATTCTGAGAGTTCAGTGAGGGTCACACAGGTACAGCAGTGTTCATTCAGAGTGTTTAGTGGGGGTCATACAGGGACAGCAGTGTTCATTCAGAGAGTGTAGTGAGGGTCACACAGGTACAACAGTGTTCATTCAGAGAGTTTAGTGAGGTCATACAGGTACAGCAGTGATCATTCAGAGGGTCATACAGGTACAGCAGTGGTCATTCCGAGAGTTTAGTGTGGGTCATACAGGGACAGCAGTGTTCATTCAGAGGGTCACACAGGTACAGCAGTGATCATTCAGAGAGTTTAGTGAGGGTCATACAGGTACAGATGTGATCATACAGAGAGTTTAGTGAGGGTCATACAGGTACAGATGTGATCATACAGAGAGTTTAGTGAGGGTCATACAGGTACAGCAGTGTTCATTCAGAGAGTTTAGTGAGGGTCATACAGGTACAGCAGTGTTCATTCAGAGAGTTTAATGAAGGTCAAACTGGTATAGCAGTGTTCATTCAGAGAGTTAATGAAGGTCATACTGGTACAACAGTGTTCATTCAGAGTGTTTAGTGGGGGTCATACAGGGACAGCAGTGATCATTCAGAGGGTCACACAGGTACAACAGTGATCATTCAGAGGGTCATACAGGTACAGCAGTGTTCATACAGAGTTTTTAGTGAGGATCATACATGTACAGAAGTGTTCATTCAGAGAGTTTAGTGAGGGTCATACATGTACAGAAGTGTTCATTCAGAGAGTTTAGTGGGGGTCACACAGGTACAGCAGTGTTCATTCAGAGAGTTTAGTGGGGGTAAAACAGGTACAGCAGTGATCATTCAGAGTGTTTAGTGAGGGTCACACAGGTACAGCAGTGTTCATACAGAGTGTTTAGTGAAGGTCATACAGGTACAGCAGTGTTCATTCAGAGAGTTTAGTGAAGGTCAAACAGGTACAGCAGTGTTCATTCTGAGAGTTTAGTGAGGGTCATACAGGTACAGCAGTGTTCATTCAGAGTGTTTAGTGAAGGTCAAACAGGTACAGCAGTGATCATTCAGAGAGTTTAGTGAAGTCATACAGGTACAGCAGTGATCATTCATAGAGTTTAGTGGGGGTAAAACAGGTACAGCAGTGATCATTCAGAGAGTTTAGTGAGGGTCACACAGGTACAGCAGTGATCATTCAGAGAGTTTAGTGAGGATCATACAGGTACAGCAGTGATCATTCATAGAGTTTAGTGAGGGTCATACAGGTACAGCAGTGTTCATTCAGAGTGTTTAGTGAAGGTCATACAGGTACAGCAGTGTTCATTCAGAGTGTTTAGTGAAGGTCAAACAGGTACAGCAGTGTTCATTCAGAGAGTTTAGTGGGGGTCATACAGGTACAGCAGTGTTCATTCTGAGAGTTTAGTGAGGGTCATACAGGTACAGCAGTGTTCATTCAGAGAGTTTAGTGGGGGTCATACAGGTACAGCAGTGTTCATTCAGAGAGTTTAGTGAGGGTCATACATGTACAGCAGTGATCATACAGAGTGTTTAATGAGGGTCATACAGGTACAGCAGTGATCATTCAGAGAGTTTAGTGAAGGTCATACAGGTACAGCAGTGTTCATTCAGAGAGTTTAGTGAGGGTCACACAGGTACAGCAGTGTTCATACATAGAGTTTAGTGGGGGTCATACAGGTACAGCAGTGATCAATCATAGAGTTTAGTGAAGGTCATACAGGTACAGCAGTGTTCATACAGAGTGTTTAGTGAAGGTCATACAGGTACAGCAGTGTTCATTCGGAGAGTTTAGTGAGGGTCATACAGGTACAGCAGTGTTCATACATTGAGTTTAGTGGGGGTCATACAGGTACAGCAGTGATCAATCATAGAGTTTAGTGAAGGTCATAAAGGTACAGCAGTGTTCATACAGTGTTTAGTGAAGGTCATACAGGTACAGCAGTGTTCATTCGGAGAGTTTAGTGAGGGTCATACAGGTACAGCAGTGTTCATTCAGAGAGTTTAGTGAGGGTCATACAGGTACAGCAGTGATCATTCAGAGAGTTTAGTGAAGGTCATACAGGTACAGCAGTGTTCATTTAGAGTGTTTAGTGAGGGTCATACAGGTACAGCAGTGTTCATACAGAGTGTTTAGTGAAGGTCATACAGGTACAGCAGTGTTCATTCAGAGAGTTTAGTGAGGGTCATACAGGTACAGCAGTGTTCATACAGAGTGTTTAGTGAAGGTCATACAGGTACAGCAGTGTTCATTCAGAGAGTTTAGTGAGGGTCATACAGGTACAGCAGCAGTGTTCATACAGAGTGTTTAGTGAAGGTCATACAGGTACAGCAGTGTTCCTTCAGAGAGTTTAGTGAGGGTCATACAGGTACAGCAGTGTTCATTCAGAGAGTTTAGTGAGGGTCACACAGGTACAGCAGTGTTCATACAGAGTGTTTAGTGAGGGTCATACATGTACAGCAGTGATCATACAGAGTGTTTAGTGAGGGTCATACAGGTACAGCAGTGATCATACAGAGAGTTTAGTGAAGGTCATACAGGTACAGCAGTGTTCATTCAGAGAGTTTAGTGAGGGTCATACAGGTACAGCAGTGTTCATACAGAGTGTTTAGTGAAGGTCATACAGGTACAGCAGTGTTCATTCAGAGAGTTTAGTGAGGGTCATACAGGTACAGCAGTGTTCATACAGAGTGTTTAGTGAAGGTCAAACAGGTACAGCAGTGATCATTCTGAGAGTTTAGTGAAGGTCATACAGGTACAGCAGTGATCATACAGAGTGTTTAGTGAGGGTCATACAGGTACGGTAGTGATCATACAGAGTGTTTAGTGAAGTTCACACTTGGATAGCAGTTATCTTTCAGAAAATTGAGTTTTACACCATGTATGTTCAGTGAAATATCTTTTTGTCTTAATTTACAGGATATTATGATGATTGAGAAATGAAGTAAGGATAAATCAAATTAGTTAGAATTTGTTTGTTTTTGTTATAACTCTACAATTAAAGTTGTTACTGCAATAATTGAATTAGTCTGGTCATGTTATCTAAGTGCCACAGTTTTCATAATTACGGGTGTAAATTAACTGCATTCAAACAGCCAGCCTGTCATCACTGACATGCATGTGCACATAACATTATACAAAAAAAATCACAGCTGGTATCAATTAAATCATATTTATTGCACCATCCATGTACAGAATTCATATTGTCTCTTTAGCATGGTCCTTCAGTCTGTTCTTCTGAATTTTTTAACCCTGTTATAGATAGGAATCTTAGTGAAGCCTCATAGAGGTGATTTACCAGTGGGATTAGTTGTACTAATCAAACTCCGGATAGGAGATATTTATTACTTCTTAAACCAGGTAGTTAATCAACATTAGTGAACTGGATACCTGCAAAATATTATAGTGAGTTGTAAATTCTGGTCTAACCCACCTAGAGCCAAAGGAACAGGGTCCAAATGGGAAAATTGATTAATTTCTTTTATCTTGTTTGTCAGCAAATACAGAATATTGTCCAAATTCTGTCTGAAGCATACTTAAATTAAGGTACATTAGTCTTAAATTCTTGTAAGAATTAAAATTTATCCTTGATAATCTTCAGATGTGAAGATAAAGACTGGCCAGGCTGGCCCACCTGCCATGAAGCCTGGATACAACTACATCAATCCCGGTCAGGAGGATCAGATGGTGAGTTTTAAGCCTGGATACCACTTTATTAATTGTGGTCAGGAGGGTCAGGTGGTAAGTTTTAAGCCTGGATACCACTTTATTAATCGTGGTCAGGAGGGTCAGGTAGTAAGTTGTAAGCCTGGATACCACTTTATTAATCACGGTCAGGAGGGTCAGGTAGTAAGTTGTAAGTTTAGATACCACTTTATTAATCGTGGTCAGGAGGGTCAGGTAGTAAGTTGTAAGTCTAGATACCACTTTATTAATCGTGGTCAGGAGGGTCAGGTGGTAAGTTTTAAGCCTGGATACCACTTTATTAATCACGGTCAGGAGGGTCAGGTAGTAAGTTGTAAGTCTAGATACCACTTTATTAATCGTGGTCAGGAGGGTCAGGTGGTAAGTTTTAAGCCTGGATACCACTTTATTAATCGTGGTCAGGAGGGTCAGGTGGTAAGTTGTAAGTCTAGATACCACTTTATTAATCGTGGTCAGGAGTAAGGTCGTGGTCAGGAGGGTCAGGGTAAGTTGTAAGTCTAGATACCACTTTATTAATCGTGGTCAGGAGGGTCAGGTAGTAAGTTGTAAGTCTAGATACCACTTTATTAATCACGGTCAGGAGGGTCAGGTAGTAAGTTGTAAGTCTAGATACCACTTTATTAATCGTGGTCAGGAGGGTCAGGTAGTAAGTTGTAAGTCTGGATACCACTTTATTAATCGTGGTCAGGAGGGTCAGGTAGTAAGTTGTAAGTCTAGATACCACTTTATTAATCGTGGTCAGGAGGGTCAGGTAGTAAGTTGTAAGTCTAGATACCACTTTATTAATCGTGGTCAGGAGGGTCAGGTAGTAAGTTGTAAGTCTGGATACCACTTTATTAATCGTGGTCAGGAGGGTCAGGTAGTAAGTTGTAAGTCTAGATACCACTTTATTAATCGTGGTCAGGAGGGTCAGGTAGTAAGTTGTAAGTCTAGATACCACTTTATTAATCGTGGTCAGGAGGGTCAGGTAGTAAGTTGTAAGTCTAGATACCACTTTATTAATCCCGGTCAGGAGGGTCAGGTAGTAAGTTGTAAGTCTAGATACCACTTTATTAATCACGGTCAGGAGGGTCAGGTAGTAAGTTGTAAGTCTAGATACCACTTTATTAATCACGGTCAGGAGGGTCAGGTAGTAAGTTGTAAGTCTGGATACCACTTTATTAATCGTGGTCAGGAGGGTCAGGTAGTAAGTTGTAAGTCTGGATAACACTTTATTAATCGTGGTCAGGAGGGTCAGGTAGTAAGTTGTAAGTACCACTTTATTAATCGTGGTCACTTTATTGTAGGAGGGTCAGGTAGTAAGTTGTAAGTCTGGATAACACTTTATTAATCGTGGTCAGGAGGGTCAGGTAGTAAGTTGTAAGTCTAGATACCACTTTATTAATCCCGGTCAGGAGGGTCAGGTGGTAAGTTGTAAGTCTAGATACCACTTTATTAATCGTGGTCAGGAGGGTCAGGTAGTAAGTTGTAAGTCTAGATACCACTTTATTAATCGTGGTCAGGAGGGTCAGGTGGTAAGTTGTAAGTCTGGATACCACTTTATTAATCGTGGTCAGGAGGGTCAGGTGGTAAGTTGTAAGTCTGGATACCACTTTATTAATCACGGTCAGGAGGGTCAGGTAGTAAGTTGTAAGTCTAGATACCACTTTATTAATCCCGGTCAGGAGGGTCAGGTAGTAAGTTGTAAGTCTAGATACCACTTTATTAATCGTGGTCAGGAGGGTCAGGTAGTAAGTTGTAAGTCTAGATACCACTTTATTAATCGTGGTCAGGAGGGTCAGGTAGTAAGTTGTAAGTCTAGATAGCTATTTTTTAATATAGGTGTGGAGGTTCTTGTAGTAAGTTGTAAGTCTAGATACCACTTTATTAATCGTGGTCAGGAGGGTCAGGTAGTAAGTTGTAAGTCTGGATACCACTTTATTAATCACGGTCAGGAGGGTCAGGTAGTAAGTTGTAAGCCTGGATACCACTTTATTAATCACGGTCAGGAGGGTCAGGTAGTAAGTTGTAAGTCTGGATACCACTTTATTAATCCCGGTCAGGAGGGTCAGGAGGGTCAGGTGGTAAGTTGTAAGTCTGGATACCACTTTATTAATCGTGGTCAGGAGGGTCAGGTAGTAAGTTGTAAGTCTAGATACCACTTTATTAATCGTGGTCAGGAGGGTCAGGTAGTAAGTTGTAAGTCTGGATACCACTTTATTAATCGTGGTCAGGAGGGTCAGGTAGTAAGTTGTAAGTCTGGATACCACTTTATTAATCGTGGTCAGGAGGGTCAGGTAGTAAGTTGTAAGGATACCACTTTATTAATCGTGGTCAGGAGGGTCAGGTAGTAAGTTGTAAGTCTAGATACCACTTTATTAATCGTGGTCAGGAGGGTCAGGTAGTAAGTTGTAAGTCTGGATACCACTTTATTAATCGTGGGCCGGAGGGTCAGGAGGGTCAGGTAGTAAGTTGTAAGTCTGGATAACACTTTATTAATCGTGGTCAGGAGGGTCAGGTAGTAAGTTGTAAGTCTGGATACCACTTTATTAATCGTGGTCAGGAGGGTCAGGTAGTAAGTTGTAAGTCTAGATACCACTTTATTAATCACGGTCAGGAGGGTCAGGTAGTAAGTTGTAAGTCTAGATACCACTTTATTAATCGTGGTCAGGAGGGTCAGGTAGTAAGTTGTAAGTCTAGATACCACTTTATTAATCGTGGTCAGGAGGGTCAGGTAGTAAGTTGTAAGTCTGGATACCACTTTATTAATCGTGGTCAGGAGGGTCAGGTAGTAAGTTGTAAGTGGATACCACTTTATTAATCGTGGTAAGTTGTAAGTTGTGGATACCACTTTATTAATCGTGGTCAGGAGGGTCAGGTAGTAAGTTGTAAGTCTAGATACCACTTTATTAATCACGGTCAGGAGGGTCAGGTAGTAAGTTGTAAGTCTGGATACCACTTTATTAATCGTGGTCAGGAGGGTCAGGTAGTAAGTTGTAAGTCTAGATACCACTTTATTAATCACGGTCAGGAGGGTCAGGTAGTAAGTTGTAAGTATAGATACCACTTTATTAATCGTGGTCAGGAGGGTCAGGTAGTAAGTTGTAAGTCTAGATACCACTTTATTAATCGTGGTCAGGAGGGTCAGGTAGTAAGTTGTAAGTCTGGATAACACTTTATTAATAGTGGTCAGGAGGGTCAGGTAGTAAGTTGTAAGCCTGGATACCACTTTATTAATCGTGGTCAGGAGGGTCAGGTAGTAAGTTGTAAGTCTGGATACCACTTTATTAATCACGGTCAGGAGGGTCAGGTAGTAAGTTGTAAGTCTGGATACCACTTTATTAATCGTGGTCAGGAGGGTCAGGTGGTAAGTTGTAAGTCTAGATACCACTTTATTAATCACGGTCAGGAGGGTCAGGTAGTAAGTTGTAAGTCTGGATACCACTTTATTAATCGTGGTCAGGAGGGTCAGGTAGTAAGTTGTAAGTCTAGATACCACTACATCAATCCGGGTTAGGAGGGTCAGATGGTGATACCCGTATACAGGTAATCTTGTGTTTCCTCGAGGCACCTCTACTTACCACTGTCTGAGGTGTGAAATTATATAGGATAGACTAGTTAATGCAGGTCCAGTGTCATTTTGAAAACTGTTGAATTAAAAATATCTCATATAATCACCAATCAACTTTAATGTTTATGTGATTGCTATTCAATAATAACTATACAAATTTTCCATTTAATTGTCAATCTGTAATATTAGCCAACCATTTTACCATACCACACAAATTGTTTACATGATGTGCACATGATGTATGCATGATCTGTACACAATATGCACACCAAGTTTTTGTTGATTTACATTTTGAATATTTGACATGTTGATGTCAAAACAGGTGTTAGTGATCTTCTTTCATTTTTTTTAGCTATTTACTACTTTTAAGAGACCTCTGTGTACCACTAGGTTTTCACCAAAAGCCTAGAAGATGAAACTCCACATACATAACATATTAACAGGTTGTTGGTTCTTTAGAAATTTCTGTAACTGGAGATTTTTCTTGTTTGTTCAGTTAATACAAGGATAGCCTTGTACAAGTCAGTGTGACCCAAAAATACAACGAGTTAGAAAAGAATAGTTCAAACTTTGTCAGGGTGACATAATGTCTCACATGTTTTTATCAGGTCATTGACAAGGTCGTTGACGTTGTTCAGAGACGTCGAGAGAATTTAAATGTGTTTTATGTTTGCTATAGTTTTTTCCTTTGTCATTGTCATTGAAAATGGGGTTACAGTATTACTGGTTGTTGAATACAGGTATTCTGGATAAAGGAGTTAAGCTGATCTGATAAAAGTATTAACTTTAATGCAAACGCACTTGTCAGTAAATATTCTGTATACAGCCAGTACATTTCATATTTCTTTTCCAACTTTTTCACTTAATATGAAAAAATTGATAAAAATAGTTAAGAATGAACATCTCTTAATTATGAATTCTAAATGTCATGTAATGCCTTTCTGTACACCATTTTATCATAGTTTTTTCAGACAAATTTAGAATTTCTTTCTGGATGACTTGTGAGTGCTTGTAGCTGGACAAGAAATAGCTGAGCCTGTATGATACAAATAAGATACTTTTTAGCCCACTTGTACAATATAGTTTTGTAGTAACAGCTTTAACACCCCACCCCCAATTTCTCATTATAGGTCATCTTTAAATACTTCTCCTCCCTGGCAAGACACCAGAGATACATCATAGTTATCCATATCTTATGTAATATTCAAGTCCCAATTTGAAGCATTAGATATTTTGGCAAAGTCTCGAATTATTTCCTTCTAATAGTCACCACTGTTTTCAATTAGAAGTTTTTGAAACTCATATTTTGATGAGTAATTATACAATAGGATATGTTATTCACACTCAGAAAGGATTACAACACCTGTATACCAATTAGCAAGATTACCTTTATGATTCAGGTGAAATAACAGTTTTCACACCTAAAAGTTGAAGTAAGAGATAGAATTATATAGACGGTCATCTCATCAGATGGTAGGGACTCATTTCTCAGTGTTTTCTTTTTTTTAATTGCAATGGATGAGTGATACTGCCTTTAAATACAGTTATCAAGGTCTCATAAAGTTAAAGTTTGTGTCATATTACACAGGAAATCCATGGATACAAGAGAAGTATCATGTGGACAATCATCGTTTGGATATTTATCATCCTCACAGTCGGTCTGCTGCGACTTTTCTACTACTGGTTTCCTCATCTTATGATACGGTCCACACATACCAAGTGTTCCTTGTCAACAGCCACTGTCGTTGTACTCAAGGTGAGTTCAAGGTCATGAGTTAATGTCAATATACAAATATTATAGAGAAATGAAGGTTTAGGTTGTGGGGTGAATGTGTAAGCTAGCAGATCCCAAGGTCTACCGTTGTGGTTTTCTATAGGTGTTGTTCATTGGGTACAAGGTCAATACTCATTGTCAAGGACACAATATTGAAAATAACAACCACCATATTCATGACCTTACCAGTTATTATCATTGTTTAGCTGTTATTAAATATCTTGGCTGTAGTGGGTGAAGGTAAGTCATTCATGGCTGGTCAACATCCCCAGACTGTTAGGATCATATCACATGAAGATTTTCTCTCCATTTCTTACAGAAATAGACAAGGTGACGTGATCTTTTTGAGAACAGAAAGGTTATTTGTTGGTATAATGGTCCATTTATTGAGGATCTAATGGCTGATGATTAAATAGAAATTGGAAATGTCAAAACCAAAATCTGAAAAGAAATCAGAATTTTTCTCACCAGATATACAATTCTGTATTTGGTTACCTTACATATCATATGTTACTGCAGGTGATTGACATAACATATTTTAATTCATTCTGAGGTATGCTTTAGAATTAATTAATAAGTACACATGTATTTGATGGTCTATGCAATCCTTGATACCAAAACACAAGGTTGATCTTTTGAAGTACATCAAATGAATGTTGAGGTCGCGTAATAGTATAATGTAATGGCCTTGAAGGTGTGTGTTTCTCCTTCAATGTAATCTTCAAGGGAGGCCATCAGTCTGTGATTGGTCATATTATGTCACTTTTGCCTTTAATTTCACCAGGATCTTTTCCAGGGGTGTGAAAGTGGTTGGGTGGCGTAGTAGTATTACACTCGCTTTTCACCTAAACATCCAGGGTTTGATTCCCACAACTGATGTGAAAAGGTGTTGGGGGTCACCTGCCCGATCTCATGATTTATCACCTGGTACTCATGTTTCCTCCCACAGTAAGACCCTTCGCGCACTTCCATCCATTTATAAATATAAGTTGGAAAAAACTTGTTTAGCAATTGTTGTAAAACAAATAAAGTTTATTTATGCAGCGTGAGAGGTGATGGTAACACCTGGGCCATGCTCAAACATGAATTTTGTGCTCAAGCCTTATGTCTTGTTTAAGTTAAAAATTAATAAATAAGACTTATTTTGCCGAAGATTTAAAAACAATTTTGAAAGGAATTCAAGTCAAAGTTACATTTCATGTTTATATTTGACATTTGTATTATTTTATATGATTAAGGTGAATTATAAAAAAGTTTGCTTGAGCAGAAAATCTATGTTTGAGCATGAGAATGGTTTCATGAATACAGGCCCTGGCGTATAGAGGTCACCTGAGGTGAAGTCTTACGTGACTTTTAATTTTGATTGTCTTTTGACTTTTGCAGTCCATCGTAAACAATTTACATTTTCAAATTCCTCTCAATAACCACAGCATGGATATTGATCAAACTTGGCGAAAGTGATCCTTTGGGGAAGGGGACCCAAAGTTGCTTGTAATATATTATATAGATATGGGCCAAAAAGGGATAAATCTTTAAATGGAAATGTTGTTTTAGAATTGGTGCAGCTCTATTGTATTGATAGTAGATACCTTAATCATGTTTAATGAATTTAAGTTAAAATTGTTGAGGTCAAGTCCCTGATGCTTTTTGTCTTTGAGGAGGGATAATTTTTTATTATAGTTGACATAATTGTCTTTTTTATGAAAGCATGTACAGTTGCTTATGTGGTTCTGTGGTAGTAAAACACCAGTCTTCTTCACTATATATTTTATTGGAATCACTTTAAGTTTCTTAAGAATTCTTCTCATGTAGTTGTATAAATAGCAGCCTAAGATCTTGTATGCACCTTTTGTCATCTGAGAGGAAGTCTCTAGCTACCTATTGTGATTATGTTTCGTCATGAGTCATACGTCGTAAATGTTTTAAATGTGGATATTTCTGTCCTGTGAAGGTATGAAAAATAAACATTAGTGAACTAACAATAAATGAAAGAAAAAAAAAATCATCCTTTTCTCAATCTCTGTGTGTACAACAAGCTGGGAATACAAAATACTGAACAATCAAATTGGCTGTAAAATCTTACCACACTCCTAAATAGAACGGGGAGGTTGTTAATTGTAAACAGAAACTTTTCAGATAAACACAATAAAAATGAGAATGACAAACTACGATCAATGACGAGAATGATGTCTTTTTTTCAAATTCACCTTTAAATTTAAACTTAAGTTCTCAAAACACACAAGGATTAAAAACTAAACTTTCCTAAATGGCATGTTTCCTGCTTGAAAAGAATTTTGTAGTGAGGAAAATATAAAACCTTAGCCCTGCTGGGGGCAAAGTTGACCTCTTGACCAAAAGCTATGAAATTTGTTATGGGGATCTAATTAAACCCCACTAGGGCCAGAGAGTCCTTTATTTTACAAAGATATGTTTATTATTAGACACTTGTTTAACCTTTACCTGGGACATACCATGGCTGTATGAAAACTGTGAAGTATACATTTTTAACCCCCTCTCCATTATTGCTCCAGGATGTCACATTTCTCTCAGTGTTAAGTTTGTTTTAATGTTGCTTTACGTCGTTTTAACAGCCACGGTCATTTAATGATATGTCAGGTTTGGGTGGTGGTGGAGGAAAGCCGGAGGCCGTGGAGAAAAGCCACAGACCTGTGGCCAGACTACCTGCATGGGGTCTGCCCCATGTAGGCCGCAAACCATCAATCCAATCAAACCGCTAAGCTATGTTACTTTTACCATACTCCTACACTTTGGAATGCAAAAATTACGAAAATAAGAGAACGAGAGGCTATTTTTCTTAATTATAAGCGATTTTATATCTTCTTTAATTCTTCTTTCAAATTTGACGACAATAAATAAATCAAAATAGGTCAAAGAAAATAACAAAATACATACAACCATATATTTATCGCCAACAAGCCAAATGATAAATAGCTCTATGATGAAGTTGACTAAATAAAACCTTTGAAATACCCAAGATGTTGCAATTACTATCCTATCAATATGAGGATTTAAACAAATCGAAAGTTTATACCTACTTCTTTATTTTGAATGTATTGCAAAGTAATAGTCCTTACTTATTATAATTATATTTGTAGTTGAGGAAAGTAGATAAGGTATACACAGCATTTCAGATAGATAAAAGTGTAAGTAATTACATTAAATGTATTTACATGCCTATCTTCCTTGAAGTATCATGGTTAGACTTTTCTTCCAGTAATTATGTCTATAAAGGCATAGTTCTATGAGATTAAACCAGACTTCCATATATATACAAAATTTACAATATTTTCAATATAGCTACTACTATTTCTGATCCCCAATGCATTAGATAATGTCACCATGACACCCTAAATGAATAAATGTTATGGAAATATTTCGTTCTAGTTAATTGAGAATTATAAACATGAATATTTTGGGTTTTTTTTATACGCGCTTTGTTTGAAGGAATATTTTCATTTTCTAGGAACTTTAATACATATAAACAAACCACAATCAACCTTCATCAAATAAAACTAAAATACAAAAAATATAAGTTATAACAAAGTCAACATCATGATCAGTGCATTATTAAAAATATATTATTCATAAATCATGAGCACCAAATGTACCTTGCCTACGAAGCGCAAACTTTTTATCTTCAAAAACTTGAAAAAGTGTCATGGCGGTGGGTGTGAAAATCCTGAAAAAGTGTCATATCGGCGGGTGTGCGCATAGGATGAACAGTCCAATTTTGTGACGTCTAATGAGGTAAAGTGATGTTATATATTAAGGCGATCTTGCCACAACGACAAGGATTAAAGCAAAATTGATGTTCTGTTTGTAAGTTTTGTTTGTTTATAAGTGCTGTAAGTTGATAATTCTAACCAAGCTCCAGACTAGCTTCTTATCATGGCGCCAACTCACACGTACAGTGTTCTGTACGCTTACGTCATGTCGAGAATTCCGTAAAATATATTGTTCAAAATCAATAGTTCAACCATACTGTGCTTCCTTTTTGAAATGTATAGTAATTGAATAGTTATTTGAAAAAATTGATTAATTTTGGATGCTTTTAAAATAGCGATTTGAAGAATCGCGTCATTATTTACGCAGAAAATTGCCACTAGAGGGCTCTAACTCTTTTTTCGATATTTCAGCCAATGAGAAGGCCAGGATCGGTAAATTTTGTCTGAAAGGCTGTCGCAATAGGCTATGCGTACTGAGTATGTTTAGCCTAAAAACAGATGTCTTTAATTAACAGCTCATCCTGCACAACCTTTCCCAGAGAAGGGGATAAAGTTTTACATAGTGCATATAGGAAAATTACATTTTTGAGCCTGATTTGTTTAATTTCCATTGGAAATCATTCAAACTTGGTGAGAATTATGAGTATTGGTTGTCAATTTATTGGTATGTAGATACTAACACTGAATAGTCCCTTTTATTGTTATTTTCCTAAACCTCGTCCGATTCAGTCCAGGGCTGTCATTTTACTGTTAATGTCCCCAAACGTCATCCTTGGTATGTAAGTAGGATTCCATCCAGGACTCTAACTTGTTATTGTTATGTCCCCAAACTTTGTCCTCAGTATGTAAGTAGGATTCAGTCCTGGACTGTGTATTTGTCATTTTACTGTTAATGTCCCAAACTTCATCCTTGGTATGTAAGTACGATTCACTCCATGGCTCTGTTATCATCTTAATGTTTTGTTGTTTATGGCATAATAGGAAATCAACTTAAGATAAAACATTAAAATCTCTAGAACTTTAGATTCAGATATGGTAAAACTGAATAATTTCCATTGATGGAAAATTTTTTGAATTACTTCACTGAATTTGTGAATTCTATTAACAAGGCTTGATCTTGTGAAATCTTGCAGGGAGAGGTAATTTGTACTTTGGTTTCTATTTGGAACTAACCACTGTGGCTATATCAGGCCCTTGGGACTTGACGTTTTATTCAGCCAGTTTTGATTGTCCTTGGTCTCCGCTAATGTTTCTGCACTTTACGCCTTTTGCATTATTGAGAAGTCCTAGAAGGATGAAAAAGCTGTATGATGTAGCATCACTGTGACATCCTAGAAGGATGAAATAGCTGTATGATGTAGCATCACAGATGAGTCCTAGAAGGATGAAACAGCTGTATGATGTAGCATCACTGAGAAGTCCAAGAAGGATGAAACAGCTGTGTGATGTAGCATCACTGAGACATCCTAGAAGGATGAAACAACTGTATGATGTAGCATTACTGACGAGTCCTAGAAGGATGAAATAGCTGTATGATGCAGTTCAATTCATTATTTGGCTGTACAGTATCTAAATATATATTGTCTTTTTTGCAATTGCCAGTGACAGAATTATTCATCTCCAACTAATAAAGGGAGGCAACTGCTCATGTCATTTGTTTTGCATTACAGGACCAGTATCTCCAGTGGTATGTGTCCCATGTCAGAGAGATGGTGGTTGATGGTCAAGGTGAAAATACAGACAGGTGAGAAAAAAATGTATTTGTTGCTGATAGATGTTTCAGTCATTGTGCTGTTTGAATGTTCTATTTATAAAACTTCAAGTAAAAATCAAATTGACTTTTTCGTTTCCTACCACCTCATTCCACCTAATCATTTACCATAAAGCTGTTAGATTTATAAATCACTTGATAGGTTTCATTTTCAAACCGTTAAGGTACTTTATGTTGGCCATTTCTCATGTATTTTCCAACTAAGTTATGTCATGTTTATATATATATGATCAATGAAGTAATATTGACAGTATGGCCAAGTTAATTGTCAAATTTCAAAGGCAGTCTTCTCTTTTATCAAGACACAAAATAAGACACAAATATTACATAAATTACATCATATACATAGAACATAGAATAAATACAAAGTTATGAACTAAAATCGTAAACTAAAATTGACAGTGGTAGTGTAAATGTAGGTGTCTCAATAGTCCCTTTGGCCAATGGCAAAAAGCCATCTTAGGTTTTCATATGAAAGATGGTGATTTAAATATTTGTTTTTTTTAAATCTCGGTACATTGTGCACGATAGCCACTGAGCATATATGTGATCGCAGAAAAAAAAACAACTTTCCTGTCACACCCCAAGGTTTACACATACATCTTGGTCCCACTCAGAATATAAGAAATGTATAACATATATATATTTTTTATAACATGGCGTTTTTGTACCCCATTTAATATTATAATCCTTTTTGACTACATTTCACAAATTTTGTAGTTGTATGCTTAAATGTACTATCCTTTTAATAGAAATAGCCACTTTCAATTGATATGTGTGATTGGTTGTACTTGATTAACAAGTCTTAATATTGGAAATCGGATATATATTGCTTTTAAATTAAAATCCCAAACTTAAATAGATTTCTTCCTCAATAGATTTATTGACATATCCTTTTTATTCTTGATGTTCATATTTCAGACCAAAACTGGAGAGAGGCACCTCAACTGTCAGTTTTACAAAGCTTGATGAAAATGAAGAGGCCGCAGCCGCCGGAAGTACAGTGAGTGAGACACTACCAGCTTATAAGTATATGTTTAGGAGAGGACTGTTAGGTTTCATCATATATTTCACTTTCATTTTTAAAAAAAAAAAAAAAATTGAATGAATTTTTGACCAAAGCAGATTCAGATGAATTTCAATACAATAAGAAATGGGAAAGGGAGACTACTGATGCTGGCTTAGATCAATTTTAAGTTTCTGCCACATAATGATAAACTTTAGTTCTTTTTTACATTGTGTTCAAATGTTCATTTTCCATAGATTACTCTAAAAATTAGACACTCTGTCTCTTAAAGTTTGCATTTTATAATTTATATCTCCAGATTGGGGAGTTGAATAATAAACAAAAAAAGAGGGATGAATGAAAATTAATGATTTCTGTTGTCTCAAAATCTTAGCGAAATCCAGGTCATTAACTGAGGAAAAGTTTTGAATATTTGTCTTTACAGGAACAACAAATAAGATTTGTTCGTTTTTTCTTCACAAAGAAAGTAAAATTTTTATGGAATGGTGATGAGCAAAACTTTGAAAAAGCCAGGTAATGTAAATATTCTGTGTAGTAGAACATATTTTGTAGTAAGTAAAATAGCAAATTTTGTTTAGCATTCCACCATTAAACACATATCACTATTGATTGGGAACACTTATTAAGGTCATTTGACTATAGCAAAATATTTGTTCTTAAAGAAGTCATACATTCATTTTAAAAATTTGAAGAAATACCTAGTTACATGTACTTTGAGAGCAACTGTCTTTCTTCTGCGCTGTTTAAAAACATAATTTCTTTCAAGTGCCACTGATATATTGTCCTATGAAATAATTAGATTATTTTTGCAGAAGTGCATTTAGAATTCTTCAACTGATATGTCCTAAGGAAAATCACACTTGGGCGTCAACCATTCATTTTAAGCCTTGACCCTTAGAAATGATTATTTTTGTGAGTTTATATGAGAATGAAAGACAAGGTGAAATGGTCATATTTCAGTGGACTAGCTGAATGCACAAGTTGTTCATTCTTTCATCGACAGACAGGTCTCAGCGTGGAGGATCAGATTAAAAAGTAAGTCTTCAAAACTATTATGTAAGACTGCGGATTTTGACTATGTTATGTTAACTAGAGGAGGTAGAGAAATAGCAGCTACACCAAGTTGCTGACTGTGAATTGTTATGTTTATAGTTACAAGTGAGGCATATTAATGTTTACTTATGTTTTGGATGCTATATTATATATACATATGTATCTACATTTATGTATTACCTATATGTAATGACTTTCAGTAGTTTGTAAAGAGAGCTATTAATTTACACTATAAAGATTAATCTTATTTACACTTAAACTTCTTTGCAATGGTGTCCATCGTTAACAACCTGTTGCCTAAGTCTACTAGGTGGAGAAGTTCATGATCAGACAAAGAATTTAGTCAATGATGAAGTAGAGTGCTGTGAACAATTTTAATCCTTGTTTACAATTTGATTCCAGAAGAGTGATCTATGGTGTTAATTCTATCAGGGTTCGTGTGACCCCTATTTTTGAGCTCATTATCAAACAGGTATGTAAACCTTGTGTGGTCTTGGTGTATTAATTGTGTAGTCTTGATGTATTAGTTGTGATCATGATGATACTGGGTGGAAAAGTCTGATTGTAATGTTCAGAAAGATTTAGTTAAATCTTACACATTTTTAGGTTTATTAGCTATATCTGTCAAAAATTGGATGTGCATTCTTTTTCATAGATGCTTCTGTTCTGTTACAAATTTTGATTCGGCTTCTTATTTCAGATTATCTCCCCTTTCTACATTTTCCAAGTATTTTCCTGCTCTCTGTGGTATGCTGATGAGTATTATTACTATGCGTCCTGCATTGTTTTTATATCCATTCTCTCTATCAGCGTCTTTATCTACCAAACACGAAAGGTGGGTATTAAAGGTCAAAGGTCAGATTATTATTATTATCCATTACTTTGCTCAAAAATACAAAAATAAACTTTGGAATTTAAAAAATTTAAATTGATTATATTGTAAATATATTGCTTAGATATAAAAAAATTTAAATATTATTGGTTGAAAATGTTATTAAATTGAAGAAACATCAATAGCAGTATTCTGATAGAACTCTGTTAATTGTAACCTCCATTTGAAGTTTTCATATTTTAGATGTTATCACTTTGGTGTGTTGATGTGATAATGGTATAATGTGATACATTTATATTATAAAGAAATGTTTTTGTTTCCTCTTTTATATTAGATGCAAAGGGCCCTCCGAAACACAATTGCTTCATCAACCATTGTGACAGTGTGTCGGAAAAATGGAGGTATATTAATATTGTATTGTATTTTACGAGATATAATGATCTCTAATAGGTTCATTCTCCGTGTAAGTACAAGGTATAAAATTTACCACATAACACTGCAGATACAATATTGGGGAAATCAGTATATTTCCTTTAAACATCACAGAAATTGGCAGGATTTGTTACAATTACATATCTCAATTGTCTCTTTCACATCATCTAGGATTTAGTCAGAATTAAATGCATACTTATTCAAGAAATCATAATTATCTCCCTTACACTGATTGGGAATTTTCAGATTTAAAATATTGCTATACTCATTTATGGTCATATTGGGTGTGTTTTAATTAGCGGTAACATTATAAGCTTACCTAGGTTGATGGGTCAAGCTTATGTCATGGCAATGGTGTCCATCATCAGTCATCCATCGTCCGTCTATCTGATCTGCGTCAACTTTTCAATTTAAACAACTTCTCGATAACCAGCACACCAATTGTCAGTGTATATGGCTGGTTGATTGCTGAGATAAAGCACAACAATATTTGGGAAAAGAAGTGAAGAGGAAAATAGATTGGTTGTACCTACTTTTAATGCCGAAGGTGCATATATTAATATCTTTTTTAAACAGATTCTAGTTTTGACAAACATTGAATATTAGGTGAGAGATGCAGACACATTGGACCTCTTGTTAATACACTGATTACAGGATTATAGGTTTTTATAAGTATTCTGTTTGCCACATTTCAGCTTATGAAGAAATCTCGTCGGAGGATTTGGTTCCTGGAGATGTTATAGAGATCCCTCGCCATGGATGTGTCATGCAGTGTGATGCTGTTCTTACCTGTGGAAACTGTATTATCAATGAGAGCATGCTTACAGGTACAGTCAAGTATCTCTCTCAAATCTTGTCTTCAGAAATAAATGTCATTTGAAAGAAAAATTGATTCTTTCAGGAAATTATTGCAAGTCTGATGTAAGATCAATTTTCAGTGTTATTTCAGAAACTGTTGAATTCTGTGTTTTTGTCCTGTTTTCTAATCTTGATAGACTCCATCTTTCATGTGTTGTCACATTACACAGGTGAAAGTGTGCCTGTGACAAAGACTCCACTACCAAATCCTAGTGGCTCTGGAACAGAGGACAAACCCTTCAGCATAAAGGAACATGCACGTCATGTATTGTTTTGTGGAACAAAGGTCATACAGACACGTTACTATGACAATCAGCGAGTGAGGGCAGTTGTTGCTCGAACTGGTAACTATATAAGTAATAAATTCATATATACCAATCTAAGTCGGATTCCATTGCATATCAGATTATACTCTTCTCATTATGTTGAATTTCAATTGATGTTTCAATGTAAAATAATGTAGTATTATCCCGTTTAAGTATTTGATGTTATGGAGTTTGTTATATCACATATTTCCTACTTTGAATACGTAAATCATATTCTCATATATTCCATTACATGCAACTTTCACTAAATTTTCGAAGAGAAGAATTAATCACCTTATCTAAGAGATAGTCGAGGCAATATCATGAGTTGGTATTGATTTACAGTACTTGTAATCCACTCTTTGTTATCTTATCTCCATTTGTGATTGTTACTGAACTGAAATCAGAAAATCCTTTAGCTGTTAATTTCTGTGTGTCATTGGAATTTAAATATGAACATGTGTACAGCCTATTCATACAAAAGAAATTATTCAGACAACATGTTGAGCCCTCCAATCTGTGTATAATAATCAAGAAGAAGTTTTCTCATAAACTTTCTGGAACATGATATTTGCAAAATGGTGCATATATTGGGAATTGTCATTTGCCCATCAATGTATATACAGGAATGATTTTATAAAGCTAAAACATTGGTGACATTTTGAATACAATATCTGAGTGATAGCTATAAAATTTAAGTTGTAAAACTGGATGTTTTAATGTATATATAGAGGTAACTTTTATTACTTCCATTGATCTGAAATTTGATATTAATTAGAATATCAAAAGTATTTAACTTGTGTTTTTTATTTACTTATAGGTTTCACCACATCTAAAGGAGAGTTAGTGAGGTCTATCCTTCACCCTAAGCCTGTGGACTTTAAGTTTAATCGGGATACTTACATATTTATAGGAATTCTTGCCATCATAGCTGGTTTAGGGTTTATCTACACCATCATCTTAATGGTAAGTAGAACATAGATGACAGTCATGTTGACGAACTGTTTAAGTCCATATTTGGTATAACCTTTTTCTTGTACTCATACAAAAGAAATTAAATTGAAAATTCTTGAGAGATTTGATTAAAAGCCTGATAAATCAATTACCACCACATAACTGTGTGAATGATGAAGGGCTTTTTTTCCTATAGATTTAGGGACTCCAGGCTTTCATATAAATGTTGTGATATTTCTGTATAAAAAAGGTGAAAAATATATATTTCAAGTTTTATCAGGGTGATTCCAGTAAAATATCTAACAGGAGAGTTCCAGGTTTGTCAAATAGGGCTGCCCATAGAAGGGATTTAATTCAAACAGTATTTGATAGTACGTGGTAATTTCTTTTACACCTACCACGCATAGATTTTCTTCCTATCCTCAGTCCTACTTGTTGGGTATATATTTTACTAGAAAGTCCCTTAGCTTGAACTGTTCCATATGAAAGCTGAGAGATCATCATGCTTATTTTGTCCAGAATTTATCAGCAGATGAACCCAGAACTTCTCTCCAACCACTCTGATTTCCATTTTTACACGCATGTTTCATTAGGTGATTGACGAGGATGATGCTAGCGACATTGTTCTCCGTGCCCTTGATCTCATTACCATTGCTGTACCACCTGCCCTCCCTGCGGCTCTCACTGTGGGTATCGTCTTTGCTCAAAGACGACTGAAGGACAACCAGATTTATTGTATCCTACCTAACTGTATTAACGTCAGTGGAACCATCAACACTTTCTGTTTTGACAAGGTAGATCACTTCACACACGATACAAAGAAGAGTTTGCATTCAGTCTGAAGCTGTCCTTGTAGAATTTTGAAGCATATGTAGATATTGAAAAGGACACCACATTTTCAGGAATATATTGAAGGATTGTATTTAATCTGAAAAGGTCCCAAATACCCGATACACCATGACAGAGTTCCAGCTAGGAGGATAAGCAAATCCTTCATAATGACGTTTTAGACTGGTCAAATTCGAGTTATAAGAATGTTTGACTTGCATGAGTTTAAGTTAGGAATGCAATTTCACTTCTGTTAATAAGACTAGGGCAGCTTGTTTGACTTAGTAAGGAGGTATACGTTACTTACATTTTAATGACTTTGTGATGTTTCAGCCTCACTATTGCTTTTGAGTATGTGATCGAGTATGGACAAAGTTTGAACTAGAAAGAATAAAGAGACTGTACCCTACAGCCCTTACAGCTTAATCCTAAATCTTGTATCATAGGGCCTATTTTGTTGACCTGCAGGCTCACAAAAATCTACTTTATATATCAAACGTTTCTTGTGCTAAGTTGATTCAGTTCAATAATTATAGAAAATAATACATGCTAATGTAAATTTATACTTAAATCTTTTTACAACATGTTTTCACAAAAAATATACCTGGCAATTAAACATTTCATGTTTTGCAATGAAAAATCAATTAGTATGCGTTAATATATTTATTTATCAATTTTGTATGTCAGACTGGAACACTAACAGAAGATGGTTTGAACATGCAGAGTTTACACCTAGTAAAAGATGGCAGGTAATGTATATGTAGCAGAGTTTTATAATCTTTTGACAAATAAAAAAAAAATGTACCTTACAACATCTAGATTCTTGGCTTATTGTCACAGTTCAGATAGGTTCAGATTAATGACTTTCAGTTTTGTCATCAGATATTCTTGTCATTCATCATAATTTTGGAAAGTTCTTGTCAGCACTTTAGTAGCATCATTCCTCAACAGCATTTGATGAAAATTTATGGATAACCTTTATTGTTCATGTAAAGTCAAGGAAGAGCTGTGAGGTGATTTGTATTGTCTACAATGTATGGTTCTTTTGTTATATTTTAGAGAAATTGTGGGAATGCAGAACTGTGTTACAATCTAAAACAAAAGACAATCTGTCACTGTGAATGGTTTTAACATATTATGACAGTTTTATTAGAACAAACTTTATTTGTATTTTTTAGTCTTAATTCTTCACCCTTTGGTAGAGTTTCCTATCCTTAATATCAACTTGGTTTAGATCTTTTAGTCACCTGTAGAGATAAATTAATCATGTTTGTAGCACACAAATGTACACTTCATTCTCTTAATTAACAAAAATATATTTTGGCTTTTGATAATTTAAAGATTTTATGTTCTCTTTTGAAGTTTTACTGAAGAAGTTCAGGACAAGTCTATATCAATGTTAGACCCTACCATGCCTGTCATGGCTGCCATGGCTACTTGTCACTCTCTCACCATCATTGATAATGAGTTGTGTGGTGACCCTCTTGACCTTATCATGTTTGAGGCAACTGGATGGGTGAGTTACATTTCTCTCACTTGAAAAACTGTAAAACTGCACAAATTTAAGGCTTTACATATCATACTGTGATATGTTCCTTCTTTACAAAGAGTTCCATAAGAAATATTTCAAAACAATATTCAGCCATATCTAAAGTCTGTTGAACTTTGGTTTAAATTTTGGGGTAATATTATTGTGACAAAATTCTGTGATGTATAGATGGAGATTTATTAGGCTTTATATGTATTTTACATAATTGTTCTGATGAGAAAAAATGTCAAGCACTGTCTATTTGGAAAAAACAAATCTGGCAGCGAAAAAAGAATGAAGATTACCTACAAACTTACTTTTTTAGGACCTTGAGGAGCCAGGACAGGAACACAGTCGTTTTGACATGATGGTCCCAACTGTAGTGAAACCACACAAAGTGCAAGGTCAGCCATGGAGTACACAACAGGTACTAAGTAGTATATGTCTATCAGTCTACAGCCTGTATATGTTGTATAACAATGGAGACACACAGCAGGTACTAAGTAGTATATGTCTATCACCCTACAGCCTGTACATGTTGTATAACCATGGAGAAACACAACAGGTACTAAGTAGTATATGTCTATCAGTCTATGACCTGTACAGGTTGTATAACCATGGAGACACACAACAGGTACTAAGTAGTATATGTCTGTCAGTCTACAGCCTGTACATGTTGTATAACCATGGAGACACACAACAGGTACTAAGTAGTATATGTCTGTCAGTCTACAGCCTGTACATGTTGTATAACCATGGAGACACACAACAGGTACTAAGTAGTATATGTCTATCAGTCTATGACCTGTACAGGTTGTATAACCATGGAGACACACAACAGGTACTAAGTAGTATATGTCTATCAGTCTACAGCCTGTACATGTTGTATAACCATGGAGACACACAACAGGTACTAAGTAGTATATGTCTATCAGTCTACAGCCTGTACATGTTGTATAACCATGGAGACACACAACAGGTACTAAGTAGTATATGTCTATCACCCTACAGCCTGTACATGTTGTATAACCATGGAGACATAAAGCAGGTACTATGTAGTATATGTCTATCAGTCTACAGCCTGTACATGTTGTATAACCATGGAGACACACAACAGGTACTAAGTAGTATATGTCTATCAGTCTACAGCCTGTACATGTTGTATAACCATGGAGACACACAACAGGTACTAAGTAGTATATGTCTGTCAGTCTACAGCCTGTACAGGTTGTATAACCATGGAGACACACAACAGGTACTAAGTAGTATATGTCTATCACCCTACAGCCTGTACATGTTGTATAACCATGGAGACATAAAGCAGGTACTATGTAGTATATGTCTATCAGTCTACAGCCTGTACATGTTGTATAACCATGGAGACACACAACAGGTACTAAGTAGTATATGTCTATCAGTCTACAGCCTGTACATGTTGTATAACCATGGAGACACACAACAGGTACTAAGTAGTATATGTCTGTCAGTCTACAGCCTGTACAGGTTGTATAACCATGGAGACACACAACAGGTACTAAGTAGTATATGTCTATCACCCTACAGCCTGTACATGTTGTATAACCATGGAGACATAAATCAGGTACTATGTAGTATATGTCTATCAGTCTACAGCCTGTACATGTTGTATAACCATGGAGACACACAACAGGTACTAAGTAGTATATGTCTATCAGTCTACAGCCTGTACATGTTGTATAACCATGGAGACACACAACAGGTACTAAGTAGTATATGTCTGTCAGTCTACAGCCTGTACAGGTTGTATAACCATGGAGACACACAACAGGTACTAAGTAGTATATGTCTATCAGCCTACAGCCTGTACATGTTGTATAGCCATGGAGACACACAACAGGTACTAAGTAGTATATTTCTCTCAGTCTCCAGCCTGTACAGGTTGTATAACCATGGAGACACACAACAGGTACTAAGTAGTATATGTCTATCACCCTACAGCCTGTACATGTTGTATAACCATGGAGACATAAAGCAGGTACTATGTAGTATATGTCTATCAGTCTACAGCCTGTACATGTTGTATAACCATGGAGACACACAACAGATACTAAGTAGTATATGTCTGTCAGTCTACAGCCTGTACAGGTTGTATAACCATGGAGACACACAACAGGTACTAAGTAGTATATGTCTATCAGCCTACAGCCTGTACATGTTGTATAGCCATGGAGACACACAACAGGTACTAAGTAGTATATTTCTCTCAGTCTCCAGCCTGTATAACCATGGAGACACACAACAGGTACTAAGTAGTTTATTTCTCTCAGTCTCCAGCCTGTACAGGTTGTATAACCATGGAGACACACAACAGGTACTAAGTAGTATATGTCTATCACCCTACAGCCTGTACATGTTGTATAACCATGGAGACATAAAGCAGGTACTATGTAGTATATGTCTATCAGTCTACAGCCTGTACATGTTGTATAACCATGGAGACACACAACAGATACTAAGTAGTATATGTCTGTCAGTCTACAGCCTGTACAGGTTGTATAACCATGGAGACACACAACAGGTACTAAGTAGTATATGTCTATCAGCCTACAGCCTGTACATGTTGTATAGCCATGGAGACACACAACAGGTACTAAGTAGTATATTTCTCTCAGTCTCCAGCCTGTATAACCATGGAGACACACAACAGGTACTAAGTAGTATATTTCTCTCAGTCTCCAGCCTGTATAACCATGGAGACACACAACAGGTACTAAGTAGTATATGTCTCAGCCTACAGCTGGTAAAAGTTTGGATCATAATTCTTCCAACTTCGCAACGTTGTTTTTTTCTATATTGTTTCTAGAATAAGATAAACACAAATAGAATAATGATTTTAAGAAAATACAATAAAAGCAGGCAAGTTTGAACCATTTAAAGAACCAGCAGGACTGCATGTGTTTGGAATCTTACCTTCCATGTACAGCCAGATCAATATCCATATTTCTACAGGGACATTTGTGATTGTGTTTTTGTTTACAGACAACAGATACAGAAGTAGGAGTCCTCAGACAGTTTACTTTTACATCTAGTTTACAAAGAATGTCGGTCATCACACGGCGTATTACTGCCAACAACTTTGATCTCTATTGTAAGGGTGCACCAGAGAAGATTGCTTCCCTTTCCAAACCTGAAACAGGTAAACTGAACATTTTACATGGACTGAACAGTGATCAAATATTATATTGTGTAATTATCATTAAAAAAAATCCTGTTTCAGTAGGGTTCATAAAAAATAAACAAAATCGAAGATAAGGCAATATTTCTTTCAGCCTTTGCTGCTATTAGATTGCATACACTTTTCACTTGTACTGTATAGAATTCAGAAAACTTTAATTTATTTCAATGTATTTTCAGTTCCATCTGACTTTCATGAGGTGCTAATGGGTTATACACAGCATGGCTACAGAGTGCTGGCATTGGCATGGCGACCTCTACCTGACAAACTTAACTATTCCAAAATACACCGAATACAAAGGTACAAAAGTGACTTGGTGACATGTGACTATCTTTGATATATCAATATATGTTTATATGAATATGTCTACCATCATTAGGTGGAATCATACTGAAATAGAAGTTTGTTTGTTTTTTTCTTTCTTTCTTTAAACTTGCATCACCTAATCATAAACTTTATCTATGCTTGAGTGCTGGTGGGAGATTTGTGTAGAGTTGGCGAGGATATTCAAATGGGTTCTGTATATATGTTTGGATGCTGCTTTCTGCATGATATCTTTTAAAGATGAAACTTGGTTTGTACACTTGGTAACTTAATGTCTTGCCAACGTTTAACTAATGGCGAATTCCGTGTATATTTAATGAGACTGCTATGACCTGATTGGCTGATTTTTTTATTCACTTTATGAAAAATCTATCAAGTTTTTAGTTCTCCCCTTGTGGTTAAATACCAACTATATGAAAACATTATGGACTTGATATCTGAAGCCGTATCAAGCACATGTAAAGGAAATATTTGTAAAGTTATGAGGCATTTTTAGAATCACAAATTATTTTGTTTATACTCTTTGACAAATAATGATGAAGAGAATTTTTGATAACAAGAATGAAAGTAATTGAGATGTGTTTATCAATTTAACATAAGCTTGATTCTTACAAAAAATAATACATTGCTTGTAGTAAAAGAAACATATAAATATATTTCATAGATCAGTAAAATTGAAATTCAATTAACTAGGGAACAGGTGGAAAAGAATCTGACATTCCTTGGTCTCCTGGTGATGGAGAATCGTCTGAAACCTGAAACAACACCTGTTATACAGGAACTGAAGGAGGCAAACATACGCACTATTATGGTCACAGGTCTGTACTAAAAGGAACGCCCAGACAGTTTGGCAAGTGATCTCCAATCTGAAGCTATAGTCAAGTAATTTTTGTATTTAATATCATGGGGAAATGTAGAGTGGCATTTACTCAGTCATATCTTAGCTGTAATACTTAGTAAACTACAGCTGGTTTTGACACCTTAGACTATGAAACTGGAAATAATTCTTACATTAATAAACTATTTCAGTTGTTTTGTCAAATTTGGAAATCTTATTGTCTGGAAATAGGCTTAAACTTATTTCTATGTGGTATGATTTTGCTTTGTGAAATTAGTTCAGCATGAAATGTCATTTCTAACTATGGTGTCATCAGGCTTCTAATCATTATGGTAAACTCAGACATTTTATAAGAAATATTGATTTGTTATACAGGAGACAACATGTTGACTGCCCTCTCCGTAGCCAGAGAATGTAAAATGGTGGACCAACATGAAAAGGTGATCTTGGTGCAGGCATACCCACCACAGGGTAAAGCTAATGCCAGCCTGGAATTTGTCAACGCTGAAAATACCAACGATAAAGTCAAGAAAGTTGAAATGTCTGTCACAGGGGTAAGGTCAGAGGTCATTTATGCTATTATTGCGATATGGTCACAAGGGTCATTAAAGATCTAACTGTTACTGGGGTAAGGTTTAGCTGTCATTTGTGCAAGGTTGGTAAGATCAAAGGCCATTTAAGCTGTGGCACTGGGGTAAGGTCAGGGGTCATTTGAATACAGTCACTAGGGTAAGGTCACAGAGGTTATTCAAGCTATGGTACAGAGGTAAGGTCAGGGGTCATTTAAACTCAGTCACTATGGTAAGGTCATAGTGGTTTTTCAAGCTGTGACACTAGGATAAGGTCAGAGGTCTTTTAAACTCAGTCACTTTAGTAAGATTACATAGGTTATTTAAGCTGTGATACTGGGGTAAAGCCAGGGTTCATTTAAACTTATTTACTATCGTAAGGTCACAGAGGTTATTCAAGCTGTGACACTGGGGTAAGGTCAGGGTTCATTTAAACTTAGTTACTATGGTGAGGTTACAAAGGTTAATTAAACAGTGACAATGTATGGTCATTTAAACTTAGTTACTATGGTAAGGTCACAGAGGTTATTCAAGCTGTGACGCTGGGGTAAGGTCAGGGTTCATTTAAACTTAGTTACTATGGTGATGTTACAGAGGCCAAAAGCTGTGATTTTAACATGCTGGAGTATAGTCTAAAGGAAAGGTTAGAATGAAAAGAGAATAGCAATATCAAGGTCAAGGCCATAAAAGATATTGTATTGTATCATGGTCATGGTCAGGACTTTAATTATACTGTCATGTGGCAAGGTCAAGTTTGGGACTATAAATATCTATATTTTTAAAAAAAATTGTAATCTTTGTCAAACTCATGAAAATAAGATGTTCTAAGGATATCCTGTGATATTACATTGTGTGATTAACAGTGACAGTTATAATGTTTAGTTTGTTAAAAAAATCTTTTCAAAGTGCAGAGTAAGTTGATAGAACATTCATTGAGTTCACTGATATAGTAATGTACTCAGTCATAAAACTCAGCACAAACTGAAACTTCACTTTTGATTGTTAACTTTGGTGATTCATTTTCAGTCTGAAACAAAGATAAGTATGCCAGGACTTCAATACTATCACTTTGCTGTGGAGGGACGATCCTGGGCAATAATTAGACAATATTTCCCTGATATTTTCCCCAAGGTAAGTGGAGCACACATGTATTGCCCCAAAATCTGAACAACACGATATATTTGACAGTAAAGGGAATCTATTTTTAAGCCAAGCTTATTTTAGAGTAGCTTATATATGATGTACATTGTATAGAAAATTAGACAGAAATAATTGATGGTTTTTGGGGGAACTTTCGTTAATTGTTTTGGAAACATTTTTATAAGATCTCCATATAAAATCTTACATTTCTACTCATGCTTACTTATCATGTATAGTACTTTTCAGTGTTAGAAGTCGATAGCGTATTGACTCTATGGTTCGTTTTCCTGAAGGTATTTTGATATAAGTCGATACAAATGCAAAGTATGAGAGTAACATCATTGACTTCATGTTTTAAGGTTTTAAGGTCAAGGTCACTTTTTATGTAAATGTTGCTAGACTTGGGGCAGTGATGTCTGAAAGACATTTCTTTTATTGAAATACAGAAGGAAAGCTAGAATGAGCAAGGATCATATTTGATGGTTTATATGATTACATAAAAACTTATATCTAATGTTTTCAATAGGTGGTGGTGCGTGGAACAATATTTGCAAGAATGTCACCAGATCAGAAAGCACAGCTTGTTGAGGCGCTCCAAGAACTCGGGTAATTTATTATTGCTATTAGAACTTAGTGTGTAGGTTTATCATGTGATCAAAATATTAAAAACTTGGGAGACAGTATTGCTTGAAAGACCTTTATTTGATAAGGTCATTGCCAGAGTCTAACACTGTGAAAGCTGTAATTAGATATGGACAAATTATTAGATAATGAAATTGGAAAATTAGGTTTTTGCTTCAAACTAACGTCAACTATGTTTGTTTGTTCATTGATGCATACTCATTTTATTTGATAACTTGCCACCACTGACATGAACTTTGACCTGTTGGTTGACTTTTGATTTCATTTGCTTGGATGATAATCTCTGTTACTCTAGGTACTATGTGGGAATGTGTGGTGATGGAGCCAATGACTGTGGGGCTCTGAAGACAGCTCATGCTGGAATATCTCTGTCAGAAGCCGAGGCATCTGTTGCTTCTCCCTTCACCTCGAAAAAACCCAGCATCATTTGTGTTCCTACTCTGATTAGGTAAGTTTTGAATTTGAACAAGTTTTATTGAAAATAAATGACTAATTTTGATGATTTTTTTATTAAGTCAATAGTAGTTTGTGTTTCTCAGGAAGCTGAGAAAGGGACCAGTCTGTGTTGTCATGGCTGTGTGATTGGGCAAGTCACTTTACCATAATTACTTTGGATGGCATGCAACAGGCCTCCTGTCTGTTGTTCAGTGAGGTAGCCTACAGCCACTAGAAGAGGACCCTGCCTCACATTGACCATTGATGTCCATTTGGCTGTATAATCAGCAAACAAACAAATATAGTCAATAGTTCACTCTAAATATTCAGGTTTAATCAGTACTGTAAATGCATATACTTGTCCTTGTTGTGCCGTCTAATTTGCGGACTGATCAGTAAAAACAAAATGGCTGACAGGTAGCCATCTGGGATTTTGACTTTGAAAGTTTGTTATCACTATTTCTTAAGAAGTACTGTTTAGATCTTTCTCACATTGCATATATAGGTTTCTTTTGGCCCCTAGTTGTGCCCATCTAATTTTGGGGCTGATCAGAAAAAAAATTGCAGGAAAGTGGCCATCTTGGATTTTGACTATGCAAGTTTGTTATCGCTAATTCTTAAAAAGTACTGGAGGGTTCTTTCTCAAATTTCATATGTAAGTTTCTCGTTGTCCCTAGTTGTGCCCCTTTTGATTCTGGTGCTGATCAGAAAAAACAAAATGGCCCATAAGTGACCATCTTGGATTTTGACTTCGAAAGTTTGGTATCAGGATTTCTTGAGAACTTCTCTATTGATCTTTCTCAAATTTCATGTATGGATTCCTTAAGGTCCCTAGTTGTCCCTGTTTGAGTTTGAGAGTGACCAGAAAAGCCAAATGACCGAGGACAGCCATCTTGGATTTTACTGAGTAAAAATTGTTATTGCTATTTCCTAAGAAGTACTGAATGGATATCTCTACAATTTCATACATATATTCCCTTTTGTCTCTCCTTGTGCTCGTTTGATTTTTGGACTGATCAGAATAAACAGGTGGCCATTTTAGATTTGGCAAATAAAGATTGTCATCACTATTTCTGCAAAGGAAAGTTTATATGTCTTGTCATTAAGAGCAAAAACAGAGGAGAAGGGAAAAGATCCAACTTTCAAAGAGCATATAAAGATCGAAGAATGGTGGGCGCCAATATCCCTGTGGGATCTCTTGTTTCTATAAAAATATTTTGTTGACACTGCCACATGACTTTGTGGAATAAGAGTTACCATTAAATCAATGAAAATAAATCAATTTACAGTATATACTAAATGTAAATTGATTGAGAGAACTTATGAATATGAGATTATATAGAGTATATAGTTTCAGAGCATAACTGTGACACTCTAGGAAAACTTGACTGTTTAATGTCATTTTTTGTCTCAGACAAGGGAGAGGAGCTTTAGTGACATCATTTGGAATTTTCAAGTTCATGGCCGCCTACAGTCTCACACAATTTGTATCTGTCTGCATGTTGTACTGGGTAAGAATATACTGGGATTGTTTTATTGCAAAGAGTAAGAGGTTAATTTGCAAAACTCATTAAATGTAGTCACATCATTGATATATTAACATTAAAGGTTTAATTGTGAGATGGTCTGAATGTTCAATATTAACATTCAAGGTTAAATTGTGAGATGGTTTGAATGATCACAGCATTATTACATAATAGTGTTTTACTGTTAGTTGTGCTGTAGAGGTTTAAAGATTTAAAAAAATGGTGCCTAATCAAATACCTTGATTATTTTCTACCTTCATTAAGTCAACGAAGGCAGAGGGACCTATTGTTATTGTTCTGTTTCTTTGTTAATATTCATATGATAATCCCACTGTTTGTTGCCACAGCTAATCTTAGAAACTATGAATTCATGCAACTTTTCATACATGATCAATATGATGTCTAGTTGTACACTTTAACCCCCTCCCTTGTTTTGATTCAACTTCCAAGATGGCTACCATGGGGCGGGGAATGGGATGGAGTTGAGGGTAACTTCTGCTATTACTCACAATTTCAATTCTATTTTCATTTTGTAATTGAGCTATGACATAAAAAAGCCAACCAGACCAAACAAAAATTGACAAAACTGTATAAAAACTGAGTTCTAAGTTAGATCAATCCATTTAGTATTTCTGGCCAGGAAAAAGCCTTGGAAAGCTCTATATGTGTTTGGTGATTAATTTCCACTAGACTGGGCATGTGCAAAGATTTGCGTCATATCTAATTCTCTCAAGAACTCTTTTGACATACTTTTAATTACTCCTAAATCAACAATATGATTATAATATTGGTCTGTATGTGGAGTTAGGATAATTCAGAAGATGAACTTTATGACATATTATGGGTAAGAATATGATAATTCTTCGAATATTTAGTTTATTTTGCTTCATCAGTGGTAGATAATATTCATGTGAATTCTTGGCTCTCTATTTCATCTGGAAAGAAATCTCCCTTGGTTTACTAATTCTTCGCAGTCTTTTTGTCTGTTAACACACCAATATTGTGATAAATAATATCTAATTTTGTATTTCCACAGATCGGCAACAACTTGACTGACTTTGAGTTTCTCTACATTGACTTGTTCCTGCTTACAACACTGAGTATAACATGTGAGTAAAATATGTGAGTCAAGAGAATTCTGGTTTGTTGTGAACTCAATGGGATAACAACACAGAAAGACTGTAGGCATGTTTCTAAGATGGTCCTTATTGAGTGATGTTATCTTTCAGGTTGGTATAAAATCCAATATGGTCATTATCATGAGAAACCCATTTTAAACTTCTCCCCGAAGTTCCACTGCTGCCATTGATCTGAAATTTGGTGTGGAACGCATTTATTGATTGCTCCCACTACTGCTGCTGTTACCAGTGTGTCAAATATTGGTCTTTATAGTCAGGTGAGCATTAAGACCCCTTGGGCCTCTTGTTTTATTCATTAGAAATTTTAGGAATCATGGAAACATGAGGGATATGACACTAATGAGGGCTAGCATTACATTACAAGTAAATCAATTTAACCTTGAAAAACAAGGAAAGACTGTAGACTACTTTAGAATATCTGGATGAGATCTGAGGTTTGTGATTCAACACTCCCTACACATGGGAAGCTGAGTAACAGACCAGTCTGTGCTGACATGATTGTGTCCTGAAATACACAAAACAGTTTCCCGTAGTTGCCTTGGATGGAATATGACTTGTTTATGTTTTTCAGTGAGATAGGAAACAGCTACTGCAAGAAAACCTCAGCTCAAAATGATCTTGGATGTTCAGAGGGCAATAAACCCAACATGCAAACAAACAAACAATCACCAAAAAAGGAATAGCACTTCAATACAGATTTCTGAATGTGATTTTGTCCTGAACACAGTGCTAGTTTATATGTTAGTCTACACGATCGGGGCTAAAATTTCATTGTTAAACTGTATTTATGGAAATCTGATATTTTTTTTGCAGTTGGTCGTACAGATGCCTACCACAAGTTGTCCCCACAACCTCCACTCATCAACCTGTTTGGGATTGCCCCGATCCTTTCCCTCATCCTTCATACAGCCCTTATAACAGGCTTCCAAGTTTTATGTTATCTACATGTAATGCAGCAAAGCTGGTAAGTTATTAATATCAATGTCTGTTACTTGTACCTTCCTCAGATCAACTGTTGTCTTCCATCTGATCTTTTGAAAAAATGTTGCTTCGGATCTTTCTGATAAATAGTATTCACTAGGTTTCACTCTAGGCAGACATCTTGGATTTTGACAGATCATCTATCACTGTTTCATAGACAGAACTGAATGGATCTTCTCAAACTTCATATATAGATTTCCTTTGTCAACCAATTTCGTTATGTACAGTTATTATCTGGAACTCTTAGAACGTGAAGACCCCATTTAATTCCAAGCTTTCTGTAGGGCTCTGCCTGACCTTAAATCAAATATTTGGTTATCTTGAAGTTTTCCCATGGCCCAGCTAAGATCGAGGTTTGACTGTATATAATATAGAACCAATTAAGACAACCATATTGTCAAGGTTATAAGCCACACCTTACATGTACCATCACCTCTCTAGGATCATCATTTTGAAGCTTAACATGTTTCTATCTCTTTGGTTGTTAAGTTTATAAAATGGGTCACTTCAGAATGTCTATGGTGAGCTGAAACATAAACCATTTGTGATGAAATATAAAAAAAAAATTATTTATAAATTTGCTAAAATTGTAAGAACCCTGGTTAATTATGTGATGGCCAGTCCGCTAGAAATTGTTCTTCTTCTGATAAGGTAAACATGAAGAGATATGAGAGATTATGTTGTGTGTTTAGGTTTGTAGATTATGTTGTGTGTTTAGGTTTGTAGATTATGTTGTGTGTTTAGGTTTGTAGATTATGTTGTATGTAAGGTTTGTAGATTATGTTGTGTGTTTAGGTTTGTAGATTATGTTGTGTGTTTAGGTTTGTAGATTATGTTGTATGTAAGGTTTGTAGATTATGTTGTATGTAAGGTTTGTAGATTATGTTGTGTGTTTAGGTTTGTAGATTATGTTGTGTGTTTAGGTTTGTAGATTATGTTGTGTGTTTAGGTTTGTAGATTATGTTGTATGTAAGGTTTGTAGATTATGTTGTGTGTTTAGGTTTGTAGATTATGTTGTATGTAAGGTTTGTAGATTATGTTGTATGTAAGGTTTGTAGATTATGTTGTGTGTTTAGGTTTGTAGATTATGTTGTGTGTTTAGGTTTGTAGATTATGTTGTGTGTTTAGGTTTGTAGATTATGTTGTGTGTTTAGGTTTGTAGATTATGTTGTGTGTTTAGGTTTGTAGATTATGTTGTGTGTTTAGGTTTGTAGATTATGTTGTGTGTTTAGGTTTGTAGATTATGTTGTGTGTTTAGGTTTGTAGATTATGTTGTGTGTTTAGGTTTGTAGATTATGTTGTGTGTTTAGGTTTGTAGATTATGTTGTGTGTTTAGGTTTGTAGATTATGTTGTGTGTTTAGGTTTGTAGATTATGTTGTGTGTTTAGGTTTGTAGATTATGTTGTGTGTAAGGTTTGTAGATTATGTTGTGTGTTTAGGTTTGTAGATTATGTTGTGTGTTTAGGTTTGTAGATTATGTTGTGTGTTTAGGTTTGTAGATTATGTTGTATGTAAGGTTTGTAGATTATGTTGTATGTAAGGTTTGTAGATTATGTTGTGTGTTTAGGTTTGTAGATTATGTTGTGTGTTTAGGTTTGTAGATTATGTTGTGTGTTTAGGTTTGTAGATTATGTCAGTGTTTAGGTTTGTAGATTATGTTGTATGTTTAGGTTTGTAAATTATGTTGTGTGTTTAGGTTTGTAGATTATGTTGTGTGTTTAGGTTTGTAGATTATGTTGTGTGTTTAGGTTTGTAGATTATGTTGTGTGTTTAGGTTTGTAGATTATGTTGTGTGTTTAGGTTTGTAGATTATGTTGTGTGTTTAGGTTTGTAGATTATGTTGTGTGTTTAGGTTTGTAGATTATGTTGTGTGTTTAGGTTTGTAGAGTATGTTGTGTGTTTAGGTTTGTAGATTATGTTGTGTGTTTAGGTTTGTAGATTATGTTGTATGTAAGGTTTGTAGATTATTTTGTGTGTTTAGGTTTGTAGATTATGTTGTGTGTTTAGGTTTGTAGATTATGTGTGTGTGTTTAGGTTCGTAGATTATGTTGTATGTAAGGTTTGTAGATTATGTTGTGTGTTTAGGTTTGTAGATTATGTTGTGTGTTTAGGTTTGTAGATTATGTTGTGTGTTTAGGTTTGTAGATTATGTTGTGTGTTTAGGTTTGTAGATTATGTTGTGTATTTAGGTTTGTAGATTATGTTGTGTGTTTAGGTTTGTAGATTATGTCGGTGTTTAGGTTTGTAGATTATGTTGTGTGTTTAGGTTTGTAGATTATGTTGTGTGTTTAGGTTTGTAGATTATGTTGTGTGTTTAGGTTTGTAGATTATGTTGTGTATTTAGGTTTAGGTTTGTAGATTATGTTGTGTGTTTAGGTTTGTAGATTATGTTGTGTGTTTAGGTTTGTAGATTATATTGTGTGTTTAGGTTTGTAGATTATGTTGTGTGTTTAGGTTTGTAGATTATGTTGTGTGTTTAGGTTTGTAGATTATGTTGTGTGTTTAGGTTTGTAGATTATGTCGGTGTTTAGGTTTGTAGATTATGTTGTGTATTTAGGTTTGTAGATTATGTTGTGTGTTTAGGTTTGTAGATTATGTTGTATGTAAGGTTTGTAGATTATGTTGTGTGTTTAGGTTTGTAGATTATGTTGTGTGTTTAGGTTTGTAGATTATGTTGTGTGTTTAGGTTTGTAGATTATGTTGTGTGTTTAGGTTTGTAGATTATGTTGTGTGTTTAGGTTTGTAGATTATATTGTGTGTTTAGGTTTGTAGATTATGTCAGTGTTTAGGTTTGTAGATATGTTGTATGTGTGTGTGTTTAGGTTTGTAGATTATGTTGTGTGTTTAGGTTTGTAGATTATGTTGTGTGTTTAGGTTTGTAGATTATGTTGTGTGTTTAGGTTTGTAGATTATGTTGTGTGTTTAGGTTTGTAGATTATGTTGTGTGTTTAGGTTTGTAGATTATGTTGTGTGTTTAGGTTTGTAGATTATGTTGTGTGTTTAGGTTTGTAGATTATGTTGTGTGTTTAGGTTTGTAGATTATGTTGTGTGTTTAGGTTTGTAGATTATATTGTGTGTTTAGGTTTGTAGATTATGTTGTGTGTTTAGGTTTGTAGATTATGTTGTATGTAAGGTTTGTAGATTATGTTGTGTGTTTAGGTTTGTAGATTATGTTGTGTGTTTAGGTTTGTAGATTATGTTGTGTGTTTAGGTTTGTAGATTATGTTGTGTGTTTAGGTTTGTAGATTATGTTGTGTGTTTAGGTTTGTAGATTATTATGTTGTGTGTTTAGGTTTGTAGATTATGTTGTGTGTTTAGGTTTGTAGATTATGTTGTGTGTTTAGGTTTGTAGATTATGTTGTGTGTTTAGGTTTGTAGATTATGTTGTGTGTTTAGGTTTGTAGATTATGTTGTGTGTTTAGGTTTGTAGATTATGTTGTGTGTTTAGGTTTGTAGATTATGTTGTGTGTTTAGGTTTGTAGATTATGTTGTGTGTTTAGGTTTGTAGATTATGTTGTGTGTTTAGGTTTGTAGATTATGTTGTGTGTTTATGTTTGTAGATTATGTTGTGTGTTTAGGTTTGTAGATTATGTTGTGTGTTTAGGTTTGTAGATTATGTTGTGTGTTTAGGTTTGTAGATTATGTTGTGTGTTTAGGTTTGTAGATTATGTTGTGTGTTTAGGTTTGTAGATTATGTGTGTGTGTAGATTATGTGTGTGTAGGTTTGTAGATTATGTTGTGTGTTTAGGTTTGTAGATTATGTTGTGTGTTTAGGTTTGTAGATATGTGTGTATAAGGTTTGTAGATTATGTTGTATGTACGGTTTGTAGATTATGTTGTATGTTAGGTTTGTATTTTATGTTGTGTGTTAGGTTTGTAGATTATGTTGTGTGTTTAGGTTTGTAGATTATGTTGTGTGTAAGGTTTGTAGATTATGTTGTGTGTTTAGGTTTGTAGATTATGTTGTGTGTTTAGGTTTGTAGATTATGTTGTGTGTTTAGGTTTGTAGATTATGTTGTGTGTTTAGGTTTGTAGATTATGTTGTGTGTTTAGGTTTGTAGATTATGTTGTGTGTTTAGGTTTGAATACTATGTTTTATTTTTAGGTTTGTAGATTATGTTGTGTGTTTAGGTTTGTAGATTATGTTGTGTGTTTAGGTTTGTAGATTATGTTGTGTGTTTAGGTTTGTAGATTATGTTGTGTGTTTAGGTTTGTAGATTATGTTGTGTGTTTAGGTTTGTAGATTATGTTGTGTGTTTAGGTTTGTGATTATGTTGTATGTTTAGGTTTGTAGATTATGTTGTATGTTTAGGTTTGTAGATTATGTTGTGTGTTTAGGTTTGTAGATTATGTTGTGTGTTTAGGTTTGTAGATTATGTTGTGTGTTTAGGTTTGTAGATTATGTTGTGTGTTTAGGTTTGTAGATTATGTTGTGTGTTTAGGTTTTTGTTTGTAGATTATGTTGTGTGTTTAAGGTTTGTAGATTATGTTGTGTGTTTTGTAGATTATGTGTGTGTTTAGGTTTGTAGATTATGTTGTGTGTTTAGGTTTGTAGATTATGTTGTGTGTAGGTTTGTAGATTATGTGTGTGTTTGTAGATTTGTTGTGTGTTTAGGTTTGTAGATTATGTGTGTGTGTTTAGGTTTGTAGATTATGTTGTGTGTTTAGGTTTGTAGATTATGTTGTGTGTTTAGGTTTGTAGATTATGTTGTGTGTAGGTTTGTAGATTATGGTGTGTGTTTAGGTTTGTAGATTATGTTGTGTGTTTAGGTTTGTAGATTATGTTGTGTGTTTAGGTTTGTAGATTATGTTGTGTGTTTAGGTTTGTAGATTATGTTGTGTGTTTAGGTTTGTAGATTATGTTGTGTGTTTAGGTTTGTAGATTATGTTGTGTGTTTAGGTTTGTAGATTATGTTGTGTGTTTAGGTTTGTAGATTATGTTGTGTGTTTAGGTTTGTAGATTATGTTGTGTGTTTAGGTTTGTAGATTATGTTGTGTGTTTAGGTTTGTAGATTATGTTGTGTGTTTAGGTTTGTAGATTATGTCGGTTTTTATGTTTGTCGATTTTGTTGTTTTTTAGGTTTGTAGATTATGTTGTGTGTTTAGGTTTGTAGATTATGTCGGTGTTTAGGTTTGTAGATTATGTCGGTGTTTAGGTTTGTAGATTATGTTGTGTGTTTAGGTTTGTATACTTTGTTGTTTTTTTAGGTTTGTAGATTATGTTGTGTGTTTAGGTTTGTAGATTATGTTGTGTGTTTAGGTTTGTAGATTATGTTGTATGTTTAGGTTTGTAGATTATGTTGTGTGTTTAGGTTTGTAGATTATGTTGTGTGTTTAGGTTTGTAGATTATGTTGTGTGTTTAGGTTTGTAGATTATGTTGTGTGTTTAGGTTTGTAGATTATGTTGTGTGTTTAGGTTTGTAGATTATGTTGTGTGTTTAGGTTTGTAGATTATGTTGTGTGTTTAGGTTTGTAGATTATGTTGTGTGTTTAGGTTTGTAGATTATGTTGTGTGTTTAGGTTTGTAGATTATGTTGTGTGTTTAGGTTTGTAGATTATGTTGTATGTTTAGGTTTGTAGATTATGTTGTGTGTTTAGGTTTGTATATTATGTTGTGTGTTTAGGTTTGTAGATTATGTTGTGTGTTTAGGTTTGTAGATTATGTTGTGTGTTTAGGTTTGTAGATTATGTTGTGTGTTTAGGTTTGTAGATTATGTTGTGTGTTTAGGTTTGTAGATTATGTTGTGTGTTTAGGTTTGTAGATTATGTTGTGTGTTTAGGTTTGTAGATGTTGTGTTATGTTGTGTGTTTAGGTTTGTAGATTATGTTGTGTGTTTAGGTTTGTAGATTATGTTGTGTGTTTAGGTTTGTAGATTATGTTGTGTGTTTAGGTTTGTAGATTATGTTGTATGTAAGGTTTGTAGATTATGTTGTGTGTTTAGGTTTGTAGATTATGTTGTGTGTTTAGGTTTGTAGATTATGTTGTGTGTTTAGGTTTGTAGATTATGTCGGTGTTTAGGTTTGTAGATTATGTCGGTGTTTAGGTTTGTAGATTATGTCGGTGTTTAGGTTTGTAGATTATGTCGGTGTTTAGGTTTGTAGATTATGTTGTGTGTTTAGGTTTGTAGATTATGTTGTGTGTTTAGGTTTGTAGATTATGTTGTGTGTTTAGGTTTGTAGATTATGTTGTGTGTTTAGGTTTGTAGATTATGTTGTGTGTTTAGGTTTGTAGATTATGTCAGTGTTTAGGTTTGTAGATTATGTTGTGTGTTTAGGTTTGTAGATTATGTTGTATGTTTAGGTTTGTAGATTATGTTGTGTGTAGGTTTGTAGATTATGTTGTGTGTAGGTTTGATTATAGATTATGTTGTGTGTTTAGGTTTGTAGATTATGTTGTGTGTTTAGGTTTGTAGATTATGTTGTGTGTTTAGGTTTGTAGATTATGTTGTGTGTTTAGGTTTGTAGATTATGTGTGTGTGTTTAGGTTTGTAGATTATGTTGTGTGTTTAGGTTTGTAGATTATGTTGTGTGTTTAGGTTTGTAGATTATGTTGTATTTTAGGTTTGTAGATTATGTTGTATGTTTAGGTTTGTAGATTATGTTGTGTGTTTAGGTTTGTAGATTATGTTGTGTGTTTAGGTTTGTAGATTATGTCGTGTGTTTAGGTTTGTAGATTATGTTGTGTGTTTAGGTTTGTAGATTATGTTGTGTATTTAGGTTTGTAGATTATGTTGTGTGTTTAGGTTTGTAGATTATGTTGTGTGTTTAGGTTTGTAGATTATGTTGTGTGTTTAGGTTTGTAGATTATGTTGTATGTTTAGGTTTGTAGATTATGTTGTGTGTTTAGGTTTGTAGATTATGTTGTGTGTTTAGGTTTGTAGATTATGTTGTGTGTTTAGGTTTGTAGATTATGTTGTGTGTTTAGGTTTGTAGATTATGTTGTGTGTTTAGGTTTGTAGATTATGTTGTGTGTTTAGGTTTGTAGATTATGTTGTGTGTTTAGGTTTGTAGATTATGTTGTATGTTTAGGTTTGTAGATTATGTTGTATGTTTAGGTTTGTAGATTATGTTGTATGTAAGGTTTGTAGATTATGTTGTGTGTTTAGGTTTGTAGATTATGTTGTGTGTTTAGGTTTGTAGATTATGTTGTATGTTTAGGTTTGTAGATTATGTCGGTGTTTAGGTTTGTAGATTATGTTGTGTGTTTAGGTTTGTAGATTATGTTGTGTGTTTAGGTTTGTAGATTATGTTGTGTGTTTAGGTTTGTAGATTATGTTGTGTGTTTAGGTTTGTAGATTATGTTGTGTGTTTAGGTTTGAATACTATGTTTTATTTTTAGGTTTGTAGATTATGTTGAGAACGAAGATGACGACTACATAAGCTATGAGAATATGGCTGTTTACATCATCTCTTGTTACCAATACATTATGCTTGGAGTTGTCTTCTCAAAGGGGGCACCTTATAGGAAACACATGTTCACCAACTGTAAGTATATAATTAGGGACAATAGCAGGGTATGTATATACACTGAAACTTCTATAATCAAAATTTGATGTATGAATTTTTTTTGCCTTAGAACTTTGAAGTATGGAAGTTTGAGTGTGTACTTATGCTAAGGCACTTTTTCCAGGATTAAATTTTGTTCAAAATGTATGGTTAACAGTCGTTGTAAATGGCCAACAACAGGGAGACTTTACAGTATATAGGAGTGTTTACCGTTATACTTGCAAAATTAAAATGTGAAGACATCAAAAATAGTTACTGTACTGAGGTAAGAATGTACGGTAACCAAACTCTAAAGTCATAACACTATGACAGAATATAAGTTAAAGAGATCAAGATATCACTTCAGTTTGTTATTGTAGAAATCTATCTTTAGATATGTAATCTACATCAATGGAAGCATACACCCTTTAAGGAAATAATCTTCATCTTTCTTGTTTCTTTTCAGATTGGTTCATTGCCAATTTAGCACTGTGTTTAGGGATCACACTTTGGGTCAATATCTACCCCACTGATGGACTTGCCGAATTTCTGGAGGTGAATCAAAATGTTTCTGTAAAATTACACATCTGTATCAGTTACAGAATTGTGGAATTTCCACTGTATTCCTTTTGGAGAAATACCTTTTTTTTAATAATTTAACTTTTATTTTATTCTTTCCAATGAAACAAGAATTGTCAAATGTATAACACTCTTGACTGAATGGTAATTAGTGCAGTGGTGTAATTATGAAGGCGGACACGGACAGAATTGTGGCTGGACAAGGAATTTTGTACCTTTTTATCATGCTTTCATTGACATTTGTCTTTCAGTTACAATCTGCACCAGATGTACCTTTCAGACTTATATACATTGGCATCGCAGCAGCTAATTTCTTGGCGGCAATTTTACTAGAGGTAAGTTAAACTAGCTGTGGGACTTTTGATCTTATACAATGATTGGAAAATTACGTTTTTTTTGGTTCCTTATGAAAAACAGAAAATAGATAAAGACATGAAATAAACACAATAAAAACAAAAGTATTTTTATTTGCTGAAGAAAATGATGGAATCATGAAAATGTTATTAAAAAATCAGTCAGTTGTGGAATGATTGTGTAAAAAAGACTATTTACTTGTAGTGTTTGACAATTTTTCACTGTACTTACAAAGATTGCATGACTCATCAGATCCAGTAAATCAACTGTCTTGCAATAAGTTGGTGTGTTGTCACAAGATCAACATTACATGACATGAAATTTGGTTACTGTGACCAAATTTTGATGGGTCAATAGCATTTAATAGCAAGAATTATTGTGGATTATGTTTTTGTTTGTGTTATTTACAAAACAATAAGCTTTTATGAAAATGTTTTTCATTTTCATTAGTTCAATAACACCTGTATATCTCATATTGAAGTGACTTTACATGGAAGTTCTTCAGTTATTTAGACAATCCTGTGATGTACCCTTGTCATTGTCTTTCTGTAAAATCATTAATTTTTGTAAGTGATTTATTTTTGTTGTTTCTAGGGTTCCCTTATTCCACAAATCTTTATGTCAACAAACTGTTAAAACAGTATATAAGTATATATATCCACAAAAATGATTGCCCAAAAATAATAGTTTTTGAAAAACCATGAAAATTGAGCCACGCAAAAATATTTCATTTCACAGTTATTCAGTGTACAGTTCAGAGGGAGGCAAATGAAAATTGCAGAAGTTTTTGAGCTCAATGGCTTTTTGTCTTCCTTATAATATATGATCCTATACATTTTTATAGCTGATTCATTAGACTTATAAGACTATATATTGACTGATATTGTATCATCTTCAGGTTAAAGGATATGGAAAATAAAGCCAGTGCTTGCTCGTTTATCTGCATCAGTGAAAAAGAAATAAATGCTGTTTTTATTTCTGCATACAGTATTGGGAGTTATATGTCTATGTATAATTCAGTCATGTGAATTCTGTGATAGTAGAAATATAACATGCCAGTAGACAGCATTTTCCTGATAATGTTTGTTTCTGTTACAGACATTTGTGATCGATAGCTACTTTGTCTCCTGGAAGCTACAGGAATCAGTCGAAAAGTGCTGCAATAGCGCCACCTACCAATATCACATCCTCGAGGACGAGATTAAGGAATCGCCTCAGTGGCCCCCTATCAGCCACTCGACAAGTCTTGTCCAAGTATTTGGTCGCATGGACAGTGTAATGAGCACATCAAAAGAGGAGGACCAAGCCAGCTTGTCTGGAAGTCTGATGGACTCTGACCAAGGGGAGACAACTGAGACAGTCTTCACTTTGGAAGAGGTTGATAAAAAAGCTTCAGTCAATGAGGGATTTGTAGAGGATGAAGATTTTGTAACACCTTTATGAGACAGGACTTCACATTGATCCTGGGTAAAAGGGAACTCCTAATTGTTATATTTTTTGTAATTTTTTTTACATATGAACTATAGGACAACTTCCTCTAACCCGTATTTACTTTAATACCCTCATTCATTGAACAGATCACTTGGTTCTGACCATGTTCTCTGAAAATATTTCTCTATATTTTACATTGAATTTCTAGAACAATTATTCATCAAATTTCCCACATTCACCGAACTCATTTTTACCTCTCATCCTTAGATGTTCATTGTATTTCCCCCTATATTCTTATTACATACCTGTACGGTACAGGAAGTGGTATGTTTACATACCTGTACAGTACAGGAAGTGGCATGTTTACATACCTGTACAGTACAGGAAGTGGAATGTTTACATACCTGTACAGTACAGGAAGCGGCATTATTGTATACCTGTACAGTACAGGAAGTGGCATGTTTACATACCTGTATAATACAGGAAGTGGCATGTTTACATACCTGTACGGTACAGGAAGTGGCATGTTTACATACCTGTACGGTACAGGAAGTGGCATGTTTACATACCTGTACGGTACAGGAAGTGGCATGTTTACATACCTGTACGGTACAGGAAGTGGCATGTTTACATACCTGTACGGTACAGGAAGTGGCATGTTTACATACCTGTACAGTACAGGAAGTGGCATGTTTACATACCTGTACAGTACAGGAAGTGGCATGTTTACATACCTGTACAGTACAGGAAGTGGCATGTTTACATACCTGTACAATATAGGAAGTGGCATGTTTACAAACCTGTACAGTATAAAATAGAACATGTAATGAAATTTTAAATTTTAATTGTGTTTTTAGCGCACTAGGCCCTTAAAACTAAATTTTTTACAGGAGGGGTGAGTCTGTTGTGGGGAAATTCTCATGTGTTTTAAATACTTCTCTTTTAGTTTAAATAAATCTTATACTGTAAAGGCACTTGTTGTCATGCAATCACTTATAGTGCAATATCAATTTGGAACAATGATGATTCGGCACATTCACAATAATTTCTATACCGATATTATCAACATCCAGAAACTCCAATAAATGCAAAAATATTTTAATGCAGTATCAATATAACTGCCAAGATAAGATATAATTGTAAGCACTGATATAAGAAATCTGCTAAAAAAAGATAAGCACTTACATAATTGCCAAAATAATATACAATTTAAAATAGGATAACCACTAAGGTAAGATGAGTATTAAGATAATAAGATAACTGCTGAAATAAGATAGGCATTAAGATATTTAATTATTTGATGTTCTTCCTGTCATTTTTTATTCCACACTACAATCTTAACAAAGCTAGCAGTAGACTATATATTACAACCAACATTTTTTATCTTTAAGAAATAGAATTCTCATGTAGCTGTGACATTTGTTCTCTGTTTTAGGCGTTAATTTTGAGGTTTTTTAATGTAAAAACAATTTTCATGATGTAATACTTACCATAACTTTAGTATGCAAATACAGTACCTACACCCGTCTTTGTATCCCAACAACAAAAGATTCAAAAGAAAAACAATCCCGCCCTCCCTACGATCCATGAGCCATCACGGCAGGAACGCAGAGTGATCTCCCTTCCTCTAATAACCTTTATGGCGTAGACCCCACAGAGGGGCAGCCAGGCAGATAAGGAAGAGGCGAGGATAGGGTGGGACTCCATAAAGTTATGGTAAGTATTACATCATGAAAATTGGTTTTACATTAAAAAACCTCAATTTCATTTCAGTAATAATTACCATAACTTTAGTATGCGAATTCGTCTTACCGTAGTGGTGACTAGAAGCCAGGCAGCCCCTTCAGCACAACCAAAGTAGTAGGGAGGGAGAACAGAGTGCTAAAATGAAGGAAGGGACCTCTCTGTGAAAGAGCAGGTGTACCCACATGCCGCCGTATGGAAAGACATGGCCCGGGGCTAACGAGGAGGCCCAGCCACTGACTATGCCACCACCAAAGGTCCCAATGAATACAGGCCTTCTGAGTGGGATGCTAGGGATCACAGATAAAAATCTGTGAAGGTATCCCTGCCCTGCCAGAATACTGCAGACATGACCTCTTGAAAGGAGGACTCATTGAGAGAAGGGCCCAGGATGAAGCAAGGGCCCTGACCTCGTGAGACCGCGCTAAATCACCTGGCAAACCCACCTGGAAACCGACTGGGAGGAGATATCTCGTTGTCCCTGTTTAATGGGCAAAACAGACGGGATCGAGAGCCCCGCCCCCCGCCCGACAAGTACAAAGCAACCGATCTCGCTCCTCCGAGCTAGTCACAGCCAGGATCCTGATGGGATCGTGCGAGAACCCCGGAACCTGATTCTTCGCTAAAAACAACTCTATTCATAGCAAAGCCTCTGATTAGGGCAGAAAGAGAGGAGGACTAACCGATCTCCTTCCTGCCATAACAAGCAAGAACTCTGGCAATAGCTGTACGATAGCCAGCAATAGTGCCAGGTGGCAGATAGCGGTACCTAAACAGAGAGATTAGGAAGTCCGCGATCAAATGCAGAGGCTTCGAATGAATAAGCTTCCTTGACGGCAGAAGAGGAAGCCCTGATTGATTGCTCAATGCAATCTGACACCTCTTGAGAAAAGCCTGCCTTGGCGTGGCTTCCAGAGATAGCCTCAACGCGTGAAGGTGGAGGATCTCTGGTCAAGAGTGTGTCGTTCTGGGCCAAGGCTGGCGAAGGAGATTCGGTCTGGTGGGTAGAGCCAAGGGCTCCTCCACCAGAAACGACAAGAGCTCCTGAAACCAAGCTTGCCTCGGCCACAGAGGGGCTCTCAGAAGTAAGGAGCAGTGATGCTCCCAGAACTTCTGTAGAACCCTGCCCACCAGGTTGAAGGGAGGGAATGCATATGCATACGTCCCTTCCTATTCCAGAGAAAGGGCGTCCACAGCCCACGCCTTACGGTCTGGGACCGGGGAGATGAAGGTTAGCAGCTGGTTGTTCAGGGAAGTGGCAAACAGGTCTATAATAGGTCTGTCCCACGCCTGACAATTCCCCTTGAAAATCAAGGGACACAGCTGCCATTCCGTCAACACCGGCTGGTGGCGCCTGGAGAATGGCCACCAACACACTCAGCCTGCCAGAAAGATGCTTGACCGCTATGGTCAACTGCATGTCCTGGCAGAGAAGAAGGATGTGGATGGAGAGGGCACACAGGACATGAGACCTGGTGGCCCCTGTCTCTCCAGATACGCGACAACTGTTGTCGGTAGCCACACTTTGGACTGCAGGATACCCCTAAAGGACTGCAGAGCCAAATGAACAGTCTCATCTCGAGTACACTGATGTGCTCTGAGAGCTGTTCGCCAGACCACTCCCCCGAGCGGCATTGGCCATCGAGGTAAGCTCACATTCCTGTCATGAACGCGTCCATGAACAGGATCATAGAGGGGATAGGCTTGGTCAGAGGTACCCCGTGGAAAACGTTCTCCTGAATGGTCCACCAGCAAGAGAACTCCCTGACCGACTGGGTAAGCGGGATCCAGGCCTCCTGGATGACGGAACCCAGTCAGACAGGAGGAACATCTGGAGAGGTCCGATGTGAATCCTCCCTAGGGGGACCACATATGCCAAGGAGTTGAGATACCCCAGAAAACTGAGGAACCAATGTACCTGGACAAGCGACCAAGTGATGAAAGTCAGAGCCAGAGCCCTGACCTTCTCAAACTTCTCCAGAGGTGGAAGGGCTAAGCCCCGAACCATGTCAAAATGGTTCCCCAGGAAGAAGAAGTCCTAATATGAAGGAACCTCTGACTTCTCTCTGGAGGAAGGAATGAAGCCGACTCTGAGCAAGAGTTTCAGGACCAGACGAGTGTCCTTCACTAACGATTCCCACACCAAAAGAGGCATGAGGGAGTCGTCGAAATAGATGTGGACGTCTATTCTGCGTGAGTGAAGGAAACACCAGCAGCAACTTGGTGAACACCAAAGGAGCTGTCGTGAGCCCCAAGGGCATCTCTGCCTTGGCAGCATGGTCCCTACTTCCTCCTGGAGCACCCGTGCCCTTTCTGAATCCCCGGGAGGAGGAAAGAAACAAAAACGGCCAGGAGGCGAGGGACGAATCCTGAAGAAGGGGAATACCTAGACCCTCCCTGACCACCGACAAAAGCCCACGTGTCATCTGTAATATCCTGCCACTGGGAAAGGAAAGCAGAGAGACGTCCGCCCACAGGGAGTTCCGGATGGGGAAGATCGAGCCCCTGCCAGACCAGAGAATCGTCTGCCCACCCAGAGCCTGAGCCTGCGGGAAAGGAGAAGGACAGGAACCCTTCTTCTTGCCCCCAGGAGGTTTCTTACCCTTCCTACCCTTCCCCTTGTTGCCGTTGAAGTGAGGTTGGGACTTGGGCTGTGCAGAAAACCACCGAAGACTTTGCCTTCTTCGGCCATACCCTTCTGAAACCTTCACCAGAAGTGCTGCGGCGACCGAGTCCTCCTTCATATCCTTCTGAACCCAAGGAAGAGAAATAGAAGGGGGCATTCAACAAGCGGAAACGGTAGGGTTACTGGACTGGGCGGAATTTCAGAACTGAAAACTGCCTAGCCAACACGGCATTGATGAGCAGAGAACCTGCAAGGCTGCCGTGTCCTGTATGTCGGCTGTTCTGTCTCGGATAACCGACACTCAGGCAAATCGGATACCCTGTATAGACAAACTGTCAGGAAGTCTATGTATGACAGAACTTGGATGGAGAGGTGCAACATTCTCTCCATCCTGTGGTGCTCTTTGGGATCGAGCACCACCTGGTCCACTGATTTGCCGGGCCAGGCAGCCAGCTGTCTCAACTCCAGCTGTGCTCCAGACATGTACGGGCTAAGCCCGTAACTGCTGAGTAACTGTTGGTACTCAAAACCATCCGCAGGTTGGCCTGGGCGACCCAGGAATAAGTGCCCGCAGGCACCCCTACTCCCTGAGCCCGGGGGAAAGGGAGACCGGAAACCGGACTCCTGGCCTGAAGCCCCAAACCCTTGGGGAAAACCCCCTGGGAAACCCTGCACTGGGAAATCTGGATTGGGACGGAAAGTCCCAGAGCCAGAAGCCTGTGAGGGTGGGAATACAGACCCCACGCTGACACCAGGATTAGTGAACTCAAGTGTCACTAATCCCCATAGCCACAGACAATCCTGACAAAAAGTCTGTGGCCCCTGACCCTATACCCGAAGGCACAGTTCCGGAGTCAAAGCGGCCCCCACCAACGACGACCTGAAGGAATCAGGGACCTCGACCGGAAGTCCCTTTCCGACGGTAACACCGCCGCCTATCGAGAGCTACCGGCCAATTCGACCCTTGACTGCGCCGAGTCAGGGTCGGGCTGCCCCCCCCCCCCTACTCCAGGACGCACCTGGACAGGGGGAGCCACCCCCTGCTGAAGGGCGGAGCTCGGTGGAACGAGAGCACCCCCAGCAGGAACGTTTTGGTTCAGAACTTGAGGAGGGAGGTCTTAAAAAGCTTACTTCCCTTACCGGAAGAAGAGGACGAATCCCTCTTCCGGCGGAAAGTTAGCTGGAAAGGCATGGGAGCCTAAGCAGCAGACTCCATGTGCAAACAAAGTTCACATAGTGAGGTCTGGCTGTAATGTCGGCAAATGGGACAGGTATCATGGGGTTCCCATTATCTATAGAAATAGGAACATCCATGCGCTGACCCCCGACGTAAACCCGGCACCTTTATCCAGCATCGAAACAATAAAAAATTGTAACAATGAAAACAAGGATAAAATGTTTTCTAACAATCAAAAAACTACGAACGAGATCATAAAACCTACCGTACGCAGCAAGATTGTACTGCAAAAAAAGAAAACGGTCGTACAAAACGGCCGACAAAGCAGCAAGAAAACAATTTCAACTTCACGAAAATCCGAGTGACGAGACAAGTAGTCACGCACTCGAACACGCGGAGGAAAAACACGGCCGGAAACGAAGTTCTCGAACAATAAAAAAACTACGAACGAGAGCACAAAGCCTACCGTACGCAGCAAGATTGCACTGCATAAATAAAACGGCCGTACAACACGGCCGACAAAGCAGCAAGAAAACAAATTCCAACTTCACGCAAATCCGAGCAACGAGACAAATAGTCACGCACTCGAATACGTGGAGGAAAAAACGGCCGGAAATACGGTCAAAATAAACAAAATGACAATACTTTAATTTCACGATATAAGTTGGGAGATGGGTTTATAGACTACTAATAGAGTAACAATATACTCAAACGACAATGGCAGTACGAAGAGAAGGAGTAAGAAAAGCACTACCGCACTCGTCGGCAGCCATAAAGGTAAGAGGAAGGGAGATCACTCTGCGTTCCTGCCGTGATGGCTCATGGATCGTAGGGAGGGCGGGATTGTTTTTCTTTTGAATCTTTTGTTGTTGGGATACAAAGATGGGTGTAGGTACTGTATTTGCATACT